CCCTGACAAAAGACTTGATCAATATGGAGTCCGCAGAGATGTGCTCACCCCTGTCCCAACCAGTGTCCAGTCTGGCCCAGACTGTTTTGGAGTTGCAGCAAGAAATTTTATTTCTTAAAGACGCAGTACGTCCGGCCCCAGAACCAGCTTATCCTGAACCCTTTGTCATCATGCCCGACCGTTTTGATGGTAGCCGCACATCCTTTCAGTCCTTTAAGATGGATTGTGAGGTGTTGTTTTCTTTAAAGCCTCGAACATATGCCACAAATTTCATCAAGGTCCGAGGGGCTATCAACCTGTTGTCTGGATGCATCAAAGTATGGGCTCACCAAATGTTGCAGACAAAGAGTCCTGTCCTTGTCAGCTGGGAATCCTTTAGTACCGCTATGGACTCACAATGCAAGACCACTGTGACCAAGCCAGCTCCACGTACCAAAAAATCTCAGATTCTTCGTAACCAAGAAACCCAGTACCACCACTACACCCCAGTGATGTCTCCTTATGATCCTGTTCCTATGAAATCTCCTGAGGTATCCTGTGTTCCACTCGACCCTGAGGAACCTATGCAATTAGGACTTGTTCACTGTAAAGTGACACCTGAGGAAAGAGACCGAAGGAGAAGCCATGGCCTATGTTACTACTGTGGAGAAAGAGGGCATTTCATCACACTTTGCCCTGTTCGTCCTCCTAGACCTCCAGCTCTCCGACTGGGTACTACTTTCCTCCACCCTGTGTACACTGCATGCCAGCCGTGTCCCCGTCTTGTGACACAAAAGGGTACCCAAACTACTACAGTCAATGTTACCAGTGTCCCTCAAGAACCTGCAACCAGTACCCCTGTGGAATCTCCACCTCCTGCTCCAGAAACATCTAGACCTCTTCCTGATGACACTTCTGCTCAAGCAAGCACCATTACCACTTCCTGACTTGCCAAAAAAGTTCTGCCACCTGACTGCACGTATGCCTCAAATGGCACAGTTGTATGCAAACAGGATCTAGAAATATTTGAAAAAGCATTGAAAGCTGCGAATACCTCCCCTGTGAGAACTACTAGAGCAAAAGCTACAGTAGGTGCTGTGTTTCCCTCTAATCTTGAAGAAGGCCGTACGTATGGCATGGATGCCTATGTAAGAACGTACCTCCTGCCAGATGATGTATTTGATCTCTCAGAGGAGAAAGGTACTTCTGATCTGGAAGGTAATGATGAGCAACCAAATCACACCCGGAGGGTGTTCTTGGAGGGGGGGTACTGTCACGGTTCTCGCCGCAGCAAACAGACGGCCAGACGTGGTCACCCATGGAGTTCCCAACAAGGGACTTGAACCAGGGAACTTCGCAGTCCTGATCCTGCTGTGTGCTTTGTACCAGTTTTCCTGTCGTTTGAGCTGCTACTTGTTTTTGACCCTGGCTTCTGACTACGTTTACTCTGACCTCTGGCATCCCTTGACTTCGGCTACTCCTCGTTGTTCCTGTCTTCTGGCATCCTTTGACCTCGGCTATCCTTTGACGATCCTGCTGTTTGAGTCCTTGCCTGTCCTGCGACTTGGTACTTCATCCTGCACAGCCCCCGTGCGCAGACCCACAGGCCGGGTGAATTCTTACCTGACCACCTTGGCCTGTGGCTATCTGCAAGGGTGAGCAACATATCTGCGCTACAGACTCCCAACCCAGGTAAGACCCTGACACAGATATGGTAAGTTGTATACCTTTTTTGTGTTTTATATGCAAAAATCTTTTAAGCGGCTTGTCATGTCTATTTTGCTTCTGAATTTGATAAGTAAAAATATTCATATTAAAACCCTGATAGGACTTATACAATGTGATTGTAAAAAGTGAAAAGTGATTTATTAACATAGGGTAAGGGACCCTTTTTTTCAGAACTGAGAAAATGTAAAAAGTGTTGTAGAAACAACTGGAAATCTGGGTGATCTCATCAACATTGTTAATGGAACATTGGCAACTGTTAACACATAGGTAATTATCAACTGATAGATTGTCATTGGGGCATATGTATCACAGGCTTGATATAATAATATAGACCCTAGATGTTTGTGTTCTACATTTTACATGATGTGTAGGCAGTTGTTATTATAAGAAACATTCACAAACATTGCAGGACTTGAGTTAACTGTTTCAGTCCCATAACTATCGAATCTTGACAAAGGTAAGGGTTTGGAGTGAAGCACTATAATAAGATTCAATCTAAAATATTAGTATCTGTATGTATGTCTGTCACTGCATAATATGCTGGTGCTTTATAAAAGCCAATAATAATAATAATAGTTAAATAATTTTATACCTCTATAGTCTACCTCTCTAGTCTTAGATATGTTACTTTTACAATTTGGGCTTTTTAGTTCAATCACCTCAATTAATATTTTGTAGTAGTTTTATTTATGAATATTTGAGGTAAGTTACATCGTTCGTACTAAAATGTAACATAGGTCAATGTGCCTTGCAAGTGCTCCCTCTACTGGAAGCAGAAATGTAAATATATATTAGAAACTAAAGCTTTGGCTCCCTCTTGTAGTCTAACAGGGTTATTGTGGGGATTATTGGAATTTTACATTCAATGTTAAAATATATGAATTGGAAGCATAGCAAACATGGAGAATGTATTAATTTCCAATATAAATCAGTCCTTAAATTTAAATTCCTGACAATTCGCTTAAATAACTCTGTGTCAGGAATAGAGTTACCCTAACATGCAAACCTTAAAGGTAACAGTAAAGGCATACGTACCGGTCCTTAGAGTGGCCGGGTTAGTGCCTGAGACAGATATATGAAATGACTCCAAGCAGACAGAGAATAAACGAGAGACATGCAGAGGTCAGAATTACCCCCTTAAGGACACAACTTCAGAAATAAAAAGGAATCATGACGGAATATTTCCATCATGTGTCCTTAAGGGGTTACAGAAATACACGGAATCGATAGCCAGGCCAAGATCAAGATAACAGAGAGCAAAAATAGTCAAACAAGCCAAGGTCAGAAAACAGGAAATCAAATACACTTTATAAACACACTCTAAGGTAACAAAAACCACGACAGGGCAAAGAAACAAGGACAACCATATTCCCTATACTGGGTTGTGATTGGTCACAGAGGACTGTGATGTCACAAGTCTGTACACCTCATCAAAAAGCGACACATGAGCTGACACTACAAAAAGAGACTAATGGGAGGAGTCCACATCATATATGATGTCATAATAAGGCACCAGGAAGCTAGGGATAAATGTGTGTGCATCAAAAAGATAATAAATCATTTCTGTGATCGCACAGCACCACAATGGACAGATATTGTGACACTCTCAAGAAGTGAACTGGCTCATATGGTATAGGAGAGAAGGGTAATTAAGATTGATATCTTCTGTTGCCTAAAAGTTGTTTTATAACAGATATCATAATATTGGAATCTGGATCTTTTGCTAGAGTTTTGAAGGCATTTACTTGCACCTATGCCTTCACCTTCACCATCACCCTCTTCTTTTCTATACAATCTTTCTCAATTTCCACTCGCTCACTAGTCTTTGGAGAGTGACAATTCAGCCCTGTTGAGTGGAAATTCAACCCTGGTGAATGCTGTGGAAATCCAGGTTTGCAGTGGTAAGTATTTTTTAGGCTTAAAAAGTAGTGTACGACTTGAAATTCTATTCCCCAATATAAGCCCTTTAGATAACCAAACACCATCTTGCAAATGCATGGCGTATCAAAGATACAATAGTTAGTAAAAAAAAATCACACTTTAAGAAATAGAAACGTATTTTTTTGTCTTCTTCGAATTAGTCAGTTAATTGTTTTTTTTTTTATACGATTTCTTATATTTGGATACAAAGATAGGATGATTGTGCGCACAATGGTAGATGGTTCTTTATTGTTGTAAAAGTACCTAGATATTGTAAACTTAAAATGCCACCATAGGACAGTATGTATGTACAAAAATAAAAAATTAAAAAAACTTGGAACACTCACAATATTTGTTTTTTACTATATATTGGGACTGATGTGTACTGTGATCGTTGCTGCCACCCAGGAGTGATGGGAGTGAGTGCAGGACTTCTCTTTTTGTATTCACTTTTTTATCACACAGCTTTGTTACAATTCTGCCGCCCATCCCATTTGTTCCCTATTAAGGGTTAATACGTATATAGGGGGGTATGTAAAAAATATACCTCTCTGTCTCATTAGAGATATCTTTGGCAGAAGCTCAAGGAAGCAAGGTGAAGGGTCAGTCTAGGACCCGCTTATGGGAGTCTGCCTTGACGTTGGCAGGCGGGCATTCCCTCCAATGGCCATTGGAGTAACTAAATTACCTCCATTTGTCTAAATATACCTTAGGATTAAGAAGAGAGCGAAGGTAACTTTTTTCCTTTGGTTTTTACTATATATTGGGGCTGATGTGTACTGTGGTCGTTGTTGCCGCCCAGGAGTGATGGGAGTGAGAGCAGGACTTATCTTTTTGTATTTGTATTCACTTTTACAACAATACCAAAAGAACCATCTACCATAGTGTGCACAATCATCCTATCTTTGTATCCAATTGTCTGTATGTAAGTGTTTTAAGTGACTAAGGTGATTTTTAGCTGCACTGGGTTGTACTTTTTTACACTTTGTTTTTTACTGCGATTTCTTATTTGCCCAAATTAATGTAGGAATATGTTAAGTGATATAACATGGATACTCCTGAAATTTCCTAAATGTCTATTACTTAAAATTTCTTTTAATTTCCAAATATAAGTATTTAGTCAAACAGTATCTTATCAAACAAACCACTTTGGAGTACTCTGAAGTAGTGGTGGTCTCCGCAAGATAAACGGCTCAGCCACCTCCTTGTGTGTTTTGCTAATAGAGGTAGGAATGGAAATTGAACAAACACCTGCTTTTATGTTTTGGAATACATTCAATTTTGTCCATCTTCATGAATTTCAAATTAATTGATCCTGACGCACCACAGGAATCAATCCTTATATGTAACACACCAATTGAGGTAAAAATTATTTTATTTATAAAACCAGCATAGTTAGATACTTCCATATAAAATAACTAACTTCTTGGACTTGCGGTGCTATTGGAAGTTCCATTTGTATTGGAAAAAGAGAGAGCCTGCTCTCCTACTTTGCCCCTTGTTACCCGCATGTTTTTATGTTGTTTATTAGGCAGATTGTCTGTCACTCTAGCTTCCATTAAATGTCCATTGGGCAGAGGTTGTCCACTGGTCTCACTGACAAAGACAGAAGGAACCTTTGATAGTAGCTCAAATTTTTGCTGCCTGATAACAGGCCTCAAGTAGCTTTGCTTTAGTCCATGTTCTGAGCCATTCAATAAATCTTTGGGCATGCTCTGGCTAAGGAACACATTTTCACTCATGGAAGAACTACCAAGATGAGTTTGTGCCACTGGGATTTCCTCCATTGACTCGGCAGAGTCAGAGTGATATTCTGCAGGTGGTCCAGAAGCCTGGATTGGCCGGTTGTTGATGGAGGCAAACACAGGCAAGGACTGTGATTGATAAGCTGGAGATTGTACTGCCCGACCAGGAGGAGTAGGAGAAATTGGACTTTCTGGAATACATAACCAAAGAAGAAAACATAAATACACATGTTCCAACAGTACTTTTAACAAGCAACCTGGTGAATATTGTTAAGAAATGCATTTTTAGATATGCAAAAATAGTTTATTTAATTTACATCCCACCAAACTTTGGAAACATTGTTAAAAAATACTAATTGTCACAAAATATTCTAGTTTGGATTTTGAAACCATTGGTGACCAAAAACAAGATCTAGAATGCAGGACCATGGTGGGAAGGCATACCGTTCTGTTATAGGTAATAAACTGAATGACCAATAGGCGTTCATGTAAGCAGAGCACACTGCGAACAGACACAAATTGATCTATGGTACATTTTTAGATCCAAACAGTATTGTCAAGATTTGAAAAAGTAGGAAAGGACTTGGGAGGCAAAATCATCATTCCAAATACATGGTATAAAAATTTTCACAATGTTATTAAACTTGCAGATCTTGTTTTACAATTGTGGCCTTTTGCTAGATTATCATTTTTTTGAAAATTATTTTGTTTTGAGAGCATCAACATGTGCTTTGAAATACAAATCAGAAACCGATATGGCATTAATAATGCAGCCACTAAACTTTCCAGTGAAGAGATTGCCAGTACGCAAATTCAGAGTATATATGGCATCCATTTTTACTATATGGCATCATGTATAATGCCAACTACTTAGAGTCTACGATCTTTTCTCATTTCCTTGTTCCACTGGTCCTAACATGTATTGCCTCTAATTATGTATGCTGCACACACATTGAATGAACTCCGTTCTGAACATTCTGAATAAAAAATAAAATATAGAGTAAAAATGGAAGAGTCAGCAAGTTGTCTTAATTATGGAAGTACCGTGCGATGATTTTATTTCCCAGTTTAAAGCAATTAAAAAGGAAAATCTACAACCATTTATAACTTAAATAGATGTGCTATTTGGCTAACATATAAATTAGGCAATGGGCCACAATACTCGCAATTACCACACTAGACATTAAAGGGACACTTCACTGCCCAGATAAAAAAAAAAATTATGCATTTTTGTTATTGGGGATACATGTAAAACAGCTTGCTATAGCTGCAGATCTCTTGTCACAAACTTTGCTCTGAGCAATTGCTGCCTCTTGCGTTTAGCTCCACTGTGCAAAACACACTATCTTTGTTTTTGTCGTGCTATAAACCGCTGCATAAAACTTGTTTGGACATAGCAGCATCCACATTAAAACATTGCAGATTCAGATATATGGTGCATGTCAAAAGGTACAGCACATTATTTTTAATAACAAGAGAAATAAAAATATAAGTACATAAGGGCCTAGAGATCCGCAGTCAACTAATCGTGCATGTTAGAAACCATAAGGCTTAAGTAAAAAGTAGGACAATTATCCTGTATGTGTGCGTGGCTTGTGGCCCTGTCGTCTGCTTGTCTGTTTGTCTTTAGGGAGGGAGTATCACGGCTGGGTATGAGCTGTCAGCTGGTAGAATGGCTGGGCCTCTGTGCGTAAGGGATGTCTGCCAGTGGTAATTTGGGTATGGGGGTGTCAGATTGGATGCCTTTTGCTAATTGTTAGCTTACGGAGCCAGTGGAGGTAAAACAAAATCATAACAGAACAACAGTGAACATATTAAACAGTAGAAAATGAGAAATAAGGAAACAGATTTCACACATTAAGCGTGCAAGGTAGGCAAGGGTGCGCGGTCGTGCCCCTTAGGGTGGAGGATTTTTGTGCTGTGATGTCGCGGCTCTGGGTACAAATGGGGTTATCTGATCCACAGACCAGGATGGTTGGCTTGCTGGTGTGTGAGGTGCGTCTGGTATACCCAGCATTCGGAACAAGGCTGCTACTTCAGTAAGGTGCATTAGGGAGTGGGTTTTGCCTCCTTTCTCTGCTAAAAGCCTGCGTGTGCCCCATTTGCAAGGCACATTGTGCTCCCTCAGGCATTGGTTAACATGTCAGAGGGACTGTCTCCATATGGTGGTGTGATGGGACACCTGGTAAAAGGTAAGTTGACAGCCTTCGACTGCTGTGGTAGGAGTCCCCTTGGTTGCCCCCATGACAATCCCTCTGTCCGAGTCCCGAACAAATTTTATCAGAATGTCCCTGGGTGTTTCCTTTGGCGCCCTGGGGACCATTGGTAAACAAAAGCAATAGTCCATCACGACTAACTTCATCTGCTTTGGGGGTAGGAGTGAGGCCAGAGGCCTACGAATAGAATGAGGTATCTCTTTGTTGGTGACAGTTTCAGAGACCTCTCTGAGTCTCACATTCTTGGCCTTGATTCTGTCTTCCAGGTTGGCCATGCGGTGGAGCATGTCAGTGTTGCTCTTTTGCACTGTGCTGAGAGCTGCATCCGTGACAGATTGGGCCACCTTTGTGGTGTCTACTTCTCCCTTAACAGTGGCAATCCTGCTGGACAGTGTGGCCACCTCCTCCTTTACCCCTGGCATGTCAGCTTGAAACTTTGCCCTAAGTTCATGGAGTAGGGCTTTAATGTCAGCCTTAGTTGAAGGGGGCTGTGTATCCACCCGCAGAGGGCCCTGGGCGACTGTAGGTACCTTAGTGAAGGTTGATAGCTGTTCAGGGAGGCTGTCCTCATTCGAGAACGCCAAGGTGGAGGCAGCATCCGGCGCCATTTTAGGTTGTTCAGGCCTGGCTGCCCGTCGCATAAAAGTGCAGATATCTCAAGATTCGGGGCTCGCATCAGCCCGCTATTTTTTGGTCTTTTTCCCCATTGGCAGTGAGATCACTGTATGCCAGGTTCTTGGGGCAGGTAAGGGTGGCTGGTAGCCGCTGTTGCCTGCTCGTGCGAGCTTTAGCTTTCTGCATCTAAATCGGAAGGTCGCTGGCTCCACACCCCCTCCCCCCAAGGTTAGTTTTTTAACAGTGCCAATTTCTATTGAAATCTTCACTTTTTTAAAAAGTGGACACAGTTCTCAAACATAAAGCATTTCAGCAAGCTGAAGTGCTTTAGAAATCTGGAGTGTCGCATTTACAAGACAAAATGAAGTATATAAGCGATAAATGTGGAGAGCTTATTGGCACTAATATACGTTTGTCAACAGGAATTCAGCTCTATAACATGCAGGATACAAACAGAAAATAAACGCAAACTACATAGCTTGAAAGGGATACTTCAAGACCACAGCTAAATACGGATGTTAAGTATCACTTATATGTGTGACTCACACAACACTGCACACAGTTTATCAGTCACAGTGGGTCACTAATTTGGCCCAGGTATCGAGAAATACTAGGGTTTCTCCAATACCAGCATTGATACAGCCCCTGCTAATGTAACTGTTACATGATATAATTATTCAGTTTTGGGCCTCTATGTCCAAGATGACCATGACTCAATAAATAATGTGGGATGGGTTTAAATATAATAACTGTTTATATATTTAGGTTTCCTACCATTATTTGTGCGAGGTGGCAGAGGAAATACGTGTTGTGGAGGTCCACCGTCAGAATGGCTTTCTGTTGCTCTTGGTGAGACTTGATTTGATTTTTTTCTTTTCTTCTTCTTCTTCTAGTAAAAATAATAAGAATTACATTAAAAAGAGACCACTTTTACCAATACAACTAATGTCCTAATATAATAATATAACATGTCTACTATGAACACATAAGCAATCTTCTACTTGATTCATTCTAGGTTGAAGAGGCAGGAAATGTTTAAGTGATCCATCATACAGAAACTTACATGCCGACTCAGCCATGGCTTTTTTTCTTATGTTAGTGCTACACAGTAATATGGACCACACCTGCCTGATTAGTTTATATATCTAAGTATCACCCAAACCTTTTTAATGAGGACGAAATGTCAGCCATAACCCAAGTCCAGTCCACATCAAATCAATGTTAAACTCAATCAATTTTATGTGCACACTAGAAACTACACTAAACAGACTAAAAAAATCTGATTCAAATTACATAGTTGCACTTTTTCACTGTATCAAACCCAGAAAATGTGTGAACAGTGCATACTTCAAAACCTTGAAGTTTTTGAATTCAGAATTTATTCAGAGGCCCATCATTAATTACAAAGTGAAAACATTGGGGAACCAAATGAACAAAAAGTCCAATCAAAGAGATCCTAAACTTATAAAATTGTAACGCCAAATCTTCTAGGACCTAATGTTTCTATCACTCTTCACATCTAATTATGTAATGAAATAAAGAATTTTAACAATTCAAAGAATTTCTGGGCAGGAATGACATGATTAAGGCTAAATTTCAGGAAATATCTATCCAGTAATCTGGTAATGGAAGACAATAGTCCCCCTAGGGTTACATAAAGGCTCATGGACCAATTGTGAGATCAGAACATTTTGACCGGCCCACGGACATGGAATCAGCTGTATGTGCCTCCACCAGCTAAAGTCATTAGCACTGCTCACTTAAACCTCTATGAAAAAGGACTAAAAGAGACAGTAAAACGAGAGTGATTAGACATATGTTAAAGTAAAGAGACATCAGGAACAAAGACTAATTAACTAGCAAGGGGAAAATAAAGAGGAAACAATTGAAGAGAGGGGAGAAAAGGTTTTGAGCGGGAGACAAATAGAGCATCATGACTGATTTTTGCCTATCGTGGCAAAAATCCTTGAGTCGACCCGGGAACAATTGCACCAGGTTATTGTCAAGTGTACTCTGGATGCAGTGAATAACTGCCTGGCCTGGAGGGAGGCTGACAAATGTTGTCAATGGAGAGTATCAATAATGAAAACTATTAATTGTTATTGTAATTAACCCAGTGAGTGGATTTCAACAGTAATAACTGTGAAATGTTAGTATAATGGTGGATGCGCCTTTTTAAGCGCAACCTTTTACCTCACATTTGCAGAGGAACTGTCACTTCACTAAGCTATTGGTTGTGCAAATGTTTTCTAAAATATATTTTCTATCATTAAATTTTAATTGCATACTTTGTCAGCCAAGTCATAGTATGTAAATTAGTTAACTCTTGCAATGGTGTACACTCAGCACATGCGCACATGCAGTACTGCAACTGAGAATTCCGAGTGTGCATGTGAATGTATTGAATTTCTTTGTTAGATGTACACTCCCAAGGTTTAAAGGGGTGGCGAAGGAAATGGTGTAATAGTCTTTACTGGAGTGAAGGAACAAAAAGGAGAAGAACTGTCACAGAAGTAAAAGTTCTTTGTTCCAGTCGATATACAGCATGTAAAACACTATAGTCACCAATATAAATTTAGCTTAATGAAGCAGTTTTGTTGTATAGGATATGTCCCTGCAGTCTCACTGCTTAATTATCTGCCATTTAAGAGTTAAATCACTTTGTTTGCATCCCTAGTCACACCTTACTGCATGTGACATACACAGCCTTACTAAACACTTCTAGTGATGTCCCGAACGGTTCGCCGCGGACGGCGAACATATGCGCTGTTTGACCCTTTACCTCACAGTCAGCAGACACATTCCAGCCAATCAGCAGCAGACCCTCCCTCCCAGACACTAATAATGAAAGGAGGATAAGGTTCTCTTATAGATAATGGGCAAATTCTACCATAGCTCAAAGATAGCCTGGTGATTTAAATAATCATTGTCCAAGAGGATATAAAATTATTGAAGCTGATTTGATGTGCTTCAGTTTTTTTTATTAATAGTCGCATTTTTTTTCTTCCAGTGTGACCTATTTTTCTGCACTTTGTGGCCTTTATTAACAACCACCTCCAATCGAGTTATATTAATCAGCATCCAGCTCTTAAAGTGGCTCTGTCACCTAAAACTTACCTTTCTCCTATTGTTGCCTCTTTGCATCCAAAGTAGACACTACTTTGTCTTACTTATTTTTCCTAAGCTTGACAAATGTTATAAAAATGTGGAGTTTTTAAGAATACGTTTCTAATCTTTAAATTGTGTCGAGACATAATATATGACAACTTCATATTTAGTTAGCACGGGCGGCCAAAAGATTATATAAGTCATATAAGATAACTGAACCTGTAGTACCCAATAATGTGAAAGTTTGCCATGATATATGCAATCTGTATGTTTGTAACCCCTCTCCTTTTCTTTTTCCTGTCCCCTTTCTTAAATACTTTTTGAAAAATGAATAAAAAATTCTATTTGCAAAAAAAAGGTGGAGTTTAATCAAGCTCCACATTCTTTGTCACAGAACATTCTCCCATAATACTACCTTCTGTCCTGACCTTCCTTTGCTGCCTTGCGAAATCTTCATCATTTTAACTCAGGGCCATCCCAAAACATTGTGCTGCCTGGGTCCAACGATTAAATGCTGCCCTACCTCACCAAAACCACGCCCACATCCATTATGTTATATCATGATCATTAAAACTAAAATTAAACTTAATAATGAGCTGATTAACTTTATGTGGCTGGCAAGTGCTGTCATAATACTTTCATATGGAAACTGCACTTGTTATCTCACAGATATTACCACAGGCACTGAGCATACATGACAGGCATCTCAATGACAGTTCTGTTTTAAAGCAAAGGGTGGCCAAATGGCAGTATGGTAGAACTACAAATCCCATGATGCTTTGCAATTCTGATTGCTCGAGGGAGACACTAGGCCCCCTTGCTTAGTTTAATAGTTTCTTCCTGCAAGGCATGGATGGGGGCACACGGAGGACACTATGTTCAATATGAACTGTGCCAGGTTCCCCTTTATTGGATTAGCAACCCAGATGTTTGTGTTTATTTATAACTGTTCGCTGTTTAGTAGACATGTTCCTACTTAAGGCACGGCAGGTAGGGGCAGGATGGAAGATTTAACATCCCTTATTTACAAATACAAAGTATTTTTTACTTAGTATTTGTAATGCTGTCTGAAGGGCCAATATTACAGCGATTTCCAAAAAGGCGTTATCTACTGAAGAGCTCACTAATTTGGTACCTTTAAATATGGCAATCCCAGAAGGATTCAGTTTAGAGAGTAATCTATTAAACGGTTGCAAGATGCAGCCGCAGCATGAATCAGGATTTCATTTATCTGAATGAAGTTTTGAAGCTGAATTTCATTAGAAAACGAATGAATAAATAAACTAAATTCGGTTCAGTTGAATCAAAATTGTTGGTGGCGCCCATGCGAAGAATTAGGTAAGGGGAGGGGTTTTGGAGCAAAGAAATATGGAAAAGGAGAAGTTAGGACTCCAAAGGTAAAGGGGATAAAAAAGTTGACGTGTGACAGAGCCACTTTAAAAGCTCTTTTTTCTCACATCTCAACGTGTACCTCACCTGTTGTCTAACTTCAGTCATGCATCAAGTTATGAAGCAAATGTAGCCAATAAATATTCTGATATTACAACTATGGAATTTAGCCCAACATTTAAGTGGCACCTACGTTTAGGCAACAATAACAGGACATTGAAATAACAGAGGAACACAAAGTTGGATTAAAAAAAATATTTTATAATGTTAAAACAAACATGCAACAGATTTGAACATATGTCATAACTGAGCAAACATAACTAATCTTTTGGCTTCCATCTGTCACAATTCCCAGTGTACTGATAACATACCTTCTGGGCAATTTGGATCAGGGAAAATCAAATATTATTAAGTGACCTTGACAATCAAGTGTGGATACTTAATTACAAATGTGTGGAGAAGAGCTAGACATAGGACATCATAAATCAAGCATAAATTTAATCCAAACAGATGGCAAGGAATATCATTTATATAACAGGAAATAAGGAATTTTCTCTGAGGTAAAACACACACATTAGCTAGCGGACATATTAAAAATATTTTACTATCTCATGTAAATCTGCTCACATTGCACTCCAAAACATACTGAAACACCATTAGAACATTCAGCTAGCAGCTTTGCATCTAAAAAATACATTTTATAAAATTAGAAACTCAATAAAAGAGAAGCTAGAAAAACATGTACGTATTGGACCCACTAGTATGGAAATGGCTTACCTCAACAAACATAAAGTGGCACTGTCATCTTAAAAATACTATTTCTAGGAATCAAGTTAAAACAAAAAATGTATGTATGTTAATATTTGTTTAATCTCACCTATCTATAGGAATTAAGTGTGTTTGGAATTACCACTGGGATTGGCCAACTTTGAACATGAGCTGACAAACATGGCAAGTCAGTAGCCTCCCAATACTCCATAATTATAATGCAAAGAAATTACTTTTGAAAACTTAGCAAATTTATGAATAATATCAAGAATAAAAAAAAACTGAAATATCACATTGACATTGTATTGAATTGGTATTCAGACCCTTTGCTATGACACTTGAAATTTAGCTCTGATGCATCCCATTTAATATGGTTCTTTTTTCCATTATTTGGAAAAAACACCTGTCTATAAAAGATCACATCGAAACAAAAAGCAAGCCGTAAGGTCAAAGATGCTGCCTACTCAGAGATGGGACTGTATCAAGGCACAGATTTATGGAAGGCTAGAAAGCATTTTGGCTACATTAAAAACATTCCCAAGAGCACAGTGACCTCCATAATTCTTATAATGGAAAAGGTTTGGAACAACTAGGACTCTTCCTAGAGCTGGCTGCCTGGCCAAACTTTGAAAGGTCCCTGGTAAGGGAGATGGCCAAGAACCCTGAATAACTCAAGAATCGTTTCACAGATCATGTGTGGCTATGAGATAGAAGCTTCTGTTTCCTGCAAGACATATAAAAGCCCAATTTAATTTTTTTTTTTTCCAGACTGTGAGAAACAAGATAATCTGGTCTGATGAAGCTTGAATTGTTTGACCTCAAAGCATCACATATGGATAAAACTAGGCACCACTTATCACCTGTGCAATACCATTCCAACTGTGAAGCACAGTAAAGGTAGCATCATAGTTTGCGGGTGTTCTTTTCGGAGGCAGGGACTTGAAGACTAGTTAAGGTTGAGAAAATCTGAATTCGGAAAAAAAAAAAAGAGATATCCTTAATATGAACATGGTCCTGAGAGCTCAGGTTCACAGGATAATGATCCTAACACAACCAAGACAACACAAGAGTGGCTTAGGGACAACTCTGCAAATATCCTAGAGCCTGGACGTAAACCCAATCGAACATCTCTGGAGAGACCTGAAAATGGCTATCTACTGACAGTCCTCATCCAACCCGACAGAGCTTCAGAGGATCTGCAGAGATAATGGGAGAAACTACCCAAATCAAGGTGTGCAAAGCTTGTCACGTCATACATAAATATACTTGAGGTTGTAACTGCGGGCAAAGTTGCTTCAACTAAAAAGACCTCAGAGTCTGAATACATTGTGATATTTCTGTTTAATATATTTGCAATGGTGGTTTTTGCTTTGCCATTATGACGTATTGAGTATACTTTGATATGAAAAAAAATAAATACAAATTAAACAGTCATAGAATAAGCATGAACCTTAAGAAAATATGAAACAAAATACATTCCTGAATGCAGTGTGTGTGTGTTTGATTTTTAACTGGTTGTTTTGAAATATTAATATTATTACACTGACGTGGATCTTTAAAATAAAAATACTGTCACCCTGCAGTGAGTACAACAGTTAGTCCCAGAAGCATTTGTAGACAGTTATAATTAAACTTTTTAACTTTAATTTTAGTTTTTATGTAACTTGCTTTTTAATGCTTTTGTGTTGCATTGACAATTGGACTGCTTGTAGCAAGACTGTGGACTGTAAGGCATGTGTGACACAATTCTGCATTTGTGGTTCCAACAGTCAAACATGGAGAAGGAATGAGACATTAACAACTCAAGTGTTCCCTCTCTTATAAACACAAAGTGGTTTGAACTCAAAATCTTTAATTTTGGCACTACGAGATCAACTTCTAATATTTAATTAAACATGTCCAGTTTCTTTAGTAATATATCTAGCTCAGGTTAGAAGTCTCTTTCTGTTATTCGGCACCATTAACAATAGTTTTTGTTTGCAGAAAATCCTCCAGTTAGTTCTGTTCAAGCAATATCCATGGATGAGTTGATGTTGAACAATCTGTACTTCTACAAGCATTCAGCTGAGCTTGTATCTGAGCTTTATCAGCAGTAAATCGCCAGTTTCACAGACATTTGTTCTTTCATTCTTAGCTCAACCTTGGCTTGCCTGTCCTCGTTTTGTCCTCAAGATTGTTGGTATCTTCAAATCGTTTGATGGTCTTGGCCAATGCAGTTAAAGACACTTGGTTAATTAGGTTCCATGCTGGCTTATTCAGACAATATCTAGCAAAGGCACTTTAATACTTAGGACAATATTAGAAGACTGTGTCATTTATATTCCAGACTTTTGATTATTTAGGTTTTGAAAGGAAATTCCCTTGCTTCGGATAACTATTTCATCTATCATTTATAAATGACATTTTGGACTGCAGTTCACTTATGATTACTTGTCAGATCATAGCTAACATGAAAGATGTGGGCTGCAGTAGACACATTTAAAAGTTTGGCATACTGATTAGATTTGACTCAGATTCTGTTATGGCCTGAATTGAGCTTCCAAATGTGAAGACACCTTCTGTAGTTATCTAGTTTATATAATTATTTAAAATGACCTGCTCTATAAATTAACAATAGAAAAGATGCTCATCACATTGATATGTGACAAAGATAGACTCTTGCATAGCATTCACTGCACTTTTTTTTGCATTTAAAAATCCTATATTAAAGGTTACATTACAGCAGTGGTTTTATTGAGAGTAGAAGTGGATGTTGGGTACTGCACCACTGCAAAACTCCAAACATAGCAGTGTCCAAAATATCAGAAACAAGGATACATACCTAAACTCTAATTCCCAAAATATTCAGAATTCACCAACTAGACTAGGGCATGTAAATGACTATGAAAAAAATCTTTATTTGGTAGCCTTAAATATGGCAATCCCACATAAGGATACCATATTACGGAACTATTTGCTATTATCATAATGTTTTAGCTATATAGATGAAAGCGGTTCTTCTTCCTCCTAATTTATTATTTATATAGAGCCAGTAAAATCTGTAGCGCTGTACAATGGGTTCTTCACCCATTAACAGACATGGCATGTGATCATTGTACCATCACTTTAACAAAATATTTCCCTACATGATTTTTTTTTTTTTACTATATGGATTTTATTGGTTCTGTTTCATAATTATTAACCTTAAGCAGGATACCGGATCAGACTTTAATCAGAAAAGAACAAACTCAGAGAATAACAGAAAACACTGCAAAGTGTCAGTTAACGAGAGAGATATGCAAAAAAGTGGCATAAAATGTACATTGTATTCAACTATATGAATCTGCACCAGATCCACCTGCTGATGAAGTCTAGCAAACACACTCATTTTATGATGATGATTTACACTACTACTCCAACAACATTGTGTCCATCATCGTACGATGCATACCACATCGGTAGTTGCAAATTTATTTAATCTTTGAAAGCCCTTTTACTCCCACTAGCTTGGTTCCTGTTGCTTTGAAAGCCCTATTGCTCCCATTAGCTGGGCTCCCATTCTCCTGCGTGTAGGACCTCTAAGAATTCCTGAAAACATTTCAGTAAATTTGCTGCTTTCTTCCTTCTGCTGGGTTTTCCTCCAGGTTGTCCAGCATTCTCATATCACTCCATGTTGGAATGTTGAGGTAGCAACATCAGTCAATATCATATAACAAGTGTGGGCAGTTGGACGGCTTCAGACCTTCAAATTTTGCATAGTCATAGCTGACTAAAGATGGTTGCCTCTACAGAGATGCCATATACTCTTAAAGTCAGCAGATGCACTAAAAAGTTCTTATTTGTATTCTTCATGAATAATATATACGAAGGCCATATTACAGGTCATCTACTATTTTTAATAATGACAATTCTCCTTGAAGAACATATGGGGAATTCTAGAAATAGGAGTTGCAAAAGCTACAGGAGACAGAAATCAGTTTAAATGGGGCAATATGAGTCAGGCATCTGGATCACAGGGTCCACAAGAGACAGTTATCCAAGGTACAGAGTACTAGCTATAATGGATCCAGGCAGAGAATAGCTATGAGACAGGAGGCTCTTGGTGAACATTAAGCATTTATGAAGAAGAAGAACCCAGAAAGTGCAAAGGACAAATGGAGCACAAAAGAGAGCAGGTATGTAATCTAGAAAGGTTTGAGAATTTGCAGCCCTGCCTGTATGGAAATCAAAATGGTGCACGGAAGCCGCAACTAAAGGCACCTGAATACAAGGCTATTTGGAGCAAAGAGACTCAAATGAAAAAATACAAGTCGAATATAGCTAAAAACAGAAAATGCTGGTGTGCAAGGATATTTACAGAGACACCTCAAGTGTTACAAAGTTTTCTAGACTGCACATACAGTGGAACTGGTGTTATCCCACATTAAAACCATATATACCAAACACACATGTGTGTATACTTATAACCTGCCAAAATGCACAGATGATTTCTGTAAAAGGGGAGACAAAAAGGGAACAGAGAAGGCACTCCTAGTGCAATAAAGTTATTAAAATCAGATAAAGAACAAATGCCCTCTGTAAGAATACAACTCACAAGTTGGGAGTAGTAAAAGCCCCACTCAAAGCTATATCACCCAGGGAGGATCAGCCCCTAGAGTACGCGGGATCCGATAGATGCTCCTGTGACCCAGGTGTCAGGTAAAAAACTTTTATTGATATGGTATAAAAAAGCCTTCAGCAACAACATAAAAATCAAAGTCCACCGTTTGCTCACCAAACCATGGGGAGTGAGGTGCAGTGAAGTGATAACCGCTGTCTTCCTCCCTCTGGAAATGGTCTTTCTAGCCAGTGTATAGATTGTATTCCCTTCTGTGTTTGCTGACAGAAAAGGCTGAGAATTATACGATAATGGACTTAAATAAAGATAAAGATAATTGGAGGGTGTTGTAGCAGCACCACCAATAATCATATGAGTGTGATCAACAAACCCAACAGTAGATGGAGCTACAGCAAGTGCATACGGTTAATAAGAATGAACAGTTTATTCAAGGAATGCTGTGTTTTCTGTTACTCTTTATATATTCATATGTATATATTTATATTATTTTTGTTTGTTTGTTTTTTATTACAGTGAAATGTTATCCCCTTAAGTTCAATTTGACTCCTTCTTCCAGCAGGCAAAACTAACACTGTTCAATCTACTTAGCTAAAATGCCTTATCTACATCTAAATATACACTGCCTGGAACAGTATAAATAGTACTTTTGAATTACAAAAGTAATTATTGCACCATGTCAATTTTGTGACCTTTCATATTTATTACATTTATTTCAACCTCAGGTAGGTTGATTATCTTTACTTCCATAGTACCAGAAAACAGGATTCTTCCAAGAACATGCAGACATGCTCAGTTAGTTTTTGTTTAGGTGGAGCGGCATTTATCAAATAAGACTGTGACTGGCGGTTTTGAGTGAGAGTTACAGTTCTGTCCCCAGTTAATATGAAACAGGAGCCTCGTACTCACTTCTCAGACAAATTATTAAGCCATGGTGCTCAAACTCCAACCATTAAACAAAGACAATTGTATATATATATTACATATTATATTTTCAATTATGTACGTGACCAGCTAAAATAATAAAATCTTTCTTGGTGAAAAGATATTGATAAAATAAATTACTACAAACCGTTCTTGGCTTTTTTGGCACTGATAATGATGGCCCAGGGTCAGACTGCAGCTCCCCATCCAGTTTTTCATTGTCAATAGACAACGTTGGGCAACTAAATATAGACAGAGCATTTCAAATAGATTAGAGTTTACTAGAATATTTTTTGTTTTGTTTTTTAAACCTAAAATATGCACAATTATGATCAACACAAGACAGTGCCTTTCGTATCAGCATGTATTCCTATGTTTTAGTATTTTGTTTTTAAAAAGTCATTATTTACATGTTACACCTAACTGTCCTGGCACAGCCAAAGCATACTATGTAAATTAACTTACCTCCCATGGTGTCATGAGCGTGAACGACGGTATCCTTGCAGTCTTAGTACACATAAGTACGCCTAGAGCATCATGAAGTGGTATTGGCATATGTAAGTGCTGCTCGGGTAAGTGTGCTTTTTACTTATCTCCACTCCACAACTAAGCCCCGTAAACAATTTTATCTACAGGGGTGGGTAAATGAGAAATTGCTTTGGTGTGTTAAGGGGACACCCTCCCTCTTCTCTTTTTCTTCTCGTGTACTCAAAAGAAAAGGCACAAAGAAAATCCTTCTAGAGCAGTAAGTTAAAACAACATACCGGAGAAAATAGACCAGTCTTTTTTAGTAGCCACTTATTCGAAAACACTGGCCAAAGATAGCATTCATATTTGTTTGTGTGTGAAAAAAGTAAAAAACTAAATTGAACGCTAATTTTGGCCAGTGTTTGTGACTAAGTGGTTACTAAAAAAGACTGGACATACCCCATTTGCAATACTTGGGTTGTCTTCTTTTGCAAATGGTATGCCATCATGGGGGTAATTCTCATTCCTGGGCTACCATACGCTCTCAAAGGCAACGTAACCAACCTGGCCATTTTCAATGTAAAAATATTTGACCCATATATTTGACCCTGTAACTTTCATAAATGCTATAAAACCTGTACATGGGGGGTACTGTTATACTCAGGAGACTTTGCTGAACACAAATATTAGTGTTTCAAAACTGGAAAACGTATCACAACAATTACATCATCAGTAAAAGTGCTGTTTGTGTGTGAAAAATGCAAAAAAAAGTCACTTTCACTGACAATATCATCGCTGTGATATGTTTTACTGTTTTGAATCAATAATATTTGTGTTCAGCGAAGTCTCCTGAGTAAAACAGTACCCCTCATGTACAGGTTTTAGGGTGTTATAGAACATTACAGGGTAAAATACTGTGCTAGCAAATTAAATTCTCTGGACTTTCGGCCTGGGTTGGCAGGCAGGTCCCTCAAATTGCAATCAATAAAATTACTTAATTATGTAAAAATATTACATAAATACACATGTAGAATTTAAATATATATGCATATTTATATATTTGAAGTCTACGTGTGTATTTATATAATTATTTATGTAATTTTGTATATTTCGTATTATTTCTATTTATTTATATATGCATAGATATATATACAATTTCATTCTAAGTGTATTTTGATATAAATATATATATATTAATATCAAAATACAGTTAGAATAAAATTTCATACAGATATATAATATTTTAAATTTTTTATTATTTTTACATTTTTTTATTTAATTTAAATTACTTATTTATATTTTATAATAATATATATACACAATATATATAGTTATTATATATATTATATATATATATGTGTGTAATTTAATTATAAGTGTATTTTTATATTAATATATGTACATATTAATATAAAAATACACTTAGTATGACATTATATATTTGATATATAGACATATATTATATAGGTATAATATATGTCTATATATCATATATATATATATACACACATGAGGCAAAAATGTGATTCTTTGTTAAACTAATTTGCATATGCCCACCCAGAATCCTTTGCGGTTGTAACATCACTGCTGATGTGGGATTTCTGTGGGAAAAGCAAGTCTTATGGCTTGACTGGTGTGCAGATTTTTGTTTAGCATTGTATTAACTATCCACATACTTCAGGTGGAAGGGGTTTTCAATCACAATTTTTCCCCACCATAACCTATTTGGAATTTGCTTCCCAAGCACTACCAAGCCTCAATAAGCAAACCAGTAACCAACCTCATGCTGAAGAGTTGCATTAACAACGAAACAGCTGTCCATGAGTGGTTCACTGGTTTTGCATCTTATCCTAAATTGTGTTCCAAGCAGTTGTATACTGCAAACACAAATTAAAAGGAATCCATGTTTAAAATGGAATGAGGCAAAAATGTGATTCTTTGTTAAACTAATTTGCATATGCCCACCCAGAATCCTTTGTGGTTGTAACATCACTGCTGATTTGGGATTTCTGTGGGAAAAGCAAGTCTTATGGCTTGACTGGTGTGCAGATTTTTGTTTAGCATTGTATTAACTATATATATATATATATATATATATATATATATATATATATATATATATATATATATATATTTATATAATTTTATTTTTAATTAACATTAACTTTATTTTTTATGATTTTACACTAGCAGGGAGACTGCCTGTCAGCACAGACAGTCCCCCTGCAGGCAGACACATGGACACCTATTGTGACCATGTGATCGCTGTGTTGAGCGATCACATGGCCACAGGGGTCCTAATCCGGTGTGGGGAGACTGTCTGGGCTGCAGGCAGTCTCCCCACACTGGGAGCACCGCCGATCGCCGCCGGGGGAACGACGGCGCTCGGGTAAGTAACTAAGACCGCTAGGATGGTTCAGGACCGTCAGTGGTCGACAATGCAAAAATGCCGATAACGGTCTTGAACCGTCCTCGGTCCTTAAGGGGTTAAAGTAGGCCGGGTGCACTGGCCCTATCCCCTTAACTCTGCAATGTAAAACATTGCAGTTTTTAAGAAACTGCAATGTTTACACTGCAGTGTTAAGACTGCTTCTAGTAGCTGTCTACCAGACAGCGACTCGAGACGCTTTCAGCATTAACATAGAGTTTATCTCAATGAAAAGAGCTAGACCAGCACTTTCAAACACTCCATAGGAAAGCATTGATTGAATGCCTATCTTATGAAGCAGTAATGCGCCCGGCATTTGCTGCGCGTTAGGTTCCTGGATCACCGTTACACTGTAAGCGCTGAGCCGCTGGAATCAGTTAGGTGAAAAAATGGGTTTTACCCATTCTTAAGTGTGCGCAGAGGGATATTTAGTGTATTAAAGAAGACTGATAAATTGCAAATAAATTCAAATAAATTGTTACCAAGAGTTGCACTCACCTTTTACCTAACGATTCATTCAAAGATCCCTTGATTCGTACGTCCGGGTTAGTGTAAATGAGGCTTCCTCCATAAACCTCCTCCTGCCAATCAAACAAATGTGTTAACTAAAAACACAAAACGATAAAAAAAAAAACTAAACAGTTCATATATTCTTATGTCATATGATTATATTCTGAAACACACACAAGCACATAGTGGGCAGAGGTGCAAGAGCATCAGGTCCCCAGTGATTCTCAATGAGGATGCTAAGGAAGCTTTGGTGCTGGAAACAGGTAAATAAAACCTTTTATTTTATAATTTTTATAAAACATATGGGGGGGATGAGGGAGTCATACAACTTGGAACATGGACACTAAAGTTTGGAATACACTTTTGTATGCCTAACGTTTTAGTTTTCCTTTATATATAGGAGATCCCTTACTACACAGTGACTGCTAAGGCATTTATTAGATATACTTTATATAGATGTGTTCCCTGTTAAGGGTTAATATGTGTGTAGGGGTTTAGAAATAGCCCTCTCTGTCTCATTGGAGATGTTACCTTTTAGCTTAAATAAGAAAGGTGAATTGTTAGTGCAAGACTCCCCTAAGAGGTGGCAGGTAAGCTTACACTTTAACGGCCATTGGAGTGATACTAAAAAAACCTCCAGTTATTTAAATGTGTATAGGGATTTGGGATAGTGTGCAAGTAACTCTTTTCTTTTGTGTTTTTTGTATGTATTTATATAGTCATTGCTGCCGCCCCGGGAGTAGTCAGAGTTTGAGCGCAGGGCTTAATTTTGTATGTTTATATAATATAACTCCACAAAGTAGATTTGAAAGTATGAACTGCTGCTTAAATAGAGTATATAATAATCATTGTGCACTGAAAAGCAGCATAAGCAGTATTATAGAATTACGAAAAGAGCACAAAATAAAGACATAGGTATTCCCAAAAACCAGATCAAGCCTTTGTATAGAAAAAAAATTTTCTAAGACAATAACATAGCATATTTTTTTCAAGGGAGTTCTGATTCAAGTAACAGTATCAGATTAACAAATTAAAAGGACAACCCAGTCCACTAGAGCACTTAATCTTGCTCTAGCTACGAACTATCAGTGACCGATTGCCGCACATGTATCATATATCTTAGGAGACGCATCTGAATAACATATGGGACTGGGTAATCAATAAAAACAAAGCAACATTAAATACAATTCTTAAGTTTTAATAAGAACTTGGAGAGTGAATATACCTCTATCTGTGCCTGTCCTGCTGGTGGCGAGTCACCCTCTTCTGGGTTTCTGCTGCCCGATTTCATTTCTTGCTTTTGTCGCTGGTGCATTATATATTCATATGTGCTGAGTTTTTCCCACACTGGGGTATAAAGAGAAAATTGGCTTCAGGCTGAGATTATCATTTATACTCTAGATAACATTATCAATAGATATTCATATTAAAATAATCTGTAAACAAATCAGGGACTGGATCCTGTTGCCAGAGATACATTTAGCATAGTAATGAAAGCGCATCTTGCTTTTAGATAACTTTAATAGAATGTATGTATTTTTAATGTTAAGAGTATTCCTTTAAGGCATTCACGTTTCATTTGTTAAAGACAAAAGAATCTACATTTAACAATGAAACATTCTACCACTATCAATCAGTGCTTGGAATACACAGAGAAAATGTTTTGTTTGACTTTCACAGCAATTATCATGTTATCGTGTTATCATGTGCAAACAATAGCATTACTTGCAGCTATGGGAAACCTAAAAAACAAACTGCCTTAGCTATCCCTGCAATCAGCAAGAGAGATAGCAAACAAAAAAATCCATCAGATAGTCCACTCTAGTACGGAATACTATATGTTATATGTTCTGTATTATTGGTCATATTTCCAGGTGCAATATAAAAGGAGCAACCTCAATATAGATAGACCAATGCTAGATAACGGTTTTTGACAGGCACCCAAAATCTGTACTTGGTATCAGTTCCTCAAAACATTCCTTAAATGTTTCAAATGAAACATATATCAAAATAGTGTGGCTATTTTCGTGGGGCTAGATGACTGTACTGTGTCCTCAGGCAAGAACCCTTACAAAAATAAGGGTGAGAGAGAATGATTTCAACTAAACAGCAGTTTAAAAGAATAATAAGAATTTGTCTATTTCGTGTTTTGTGTGATGTCTGGGCAATTTATTATTAATGTACATGCTGCAGTTTGCAGCATAGCACCCTCTCGTCTTCCGCGGTGAAGCCTGGAGATTCATAAGGCTCTTCCATCTGTCAATCCTAAGCAATTGTACACCAGAGAATTAGATGTGCAGCAAGGCTAGCAGAGCTAAAGTTCAAAACAGAAACTCTGGCTCATCAATTTGTGCCCTTTAATTAACGCATTGAGATGTGAAATGCCCTGGTCTTACCACCAACAATTCACATTTAGCCCGTGACCAGAAGGTTCTCTATACAGCATGCACAGGCGTAACTACAAACCACGGGGCCCTGGTGTGAAAATTGCCCTGGGTCCCTCCCCCCCATAGGTCTACTTCTTCCCTCCCCCATATGTCCACAACCCCACACACACATGCAGACAAACAGATACACATGTAAACACACACATATACAGAGACACACACATACATACAGACACACAGATATACACACACAGAGACACATACACAGATGCACATACATACATACAGAGAGATATACATACAGACACACATACACTAACACACACACATGCAAAATGTCACCCTCCTGTTTCCTACCTTTTAGGTGCAGGAGGGTGACTTTCCCTGGGGTCCAGTGGTGGCTCAGGCTGAGAGTTCCCACTCTGACTCCCTCTCCTTCCTCACGTGTGGCTCTCTCTGATAGTTGGGAGGAGTAACCAAGGCAGTCACTTCCTCCCAGCGTCTGATGTCATCACAGGGGGCCCGGTGCCCCCTGGATATTCATTGTTATCGAGTGGCCCTAACAGCATGGGCCACCCGATGGACCCCTTCAATGCGACGATTACACTGCGCGGGCAGAGGCTGCAACAAATGGCAGCAGGCACCTGGTTGCAGGGGTCCGCAGGAGTGGCAGGCCCGGTCGCAGCTGCGACCGGGGTAGTTGCGCCAGTGACAGCATGTATTTTTGTTGAGGTCCTAAATGTACATTACTCATATGCATTTTCTTAACTAGTCCTGACATGGCTCAGTGCTGCAGGAGAGGTACATACATATATGCATACATATAATGCAAAACTTTGCTAAGGTTCCTTACTAAAGCATGACTATCCCTGTGATAAATCTGGGAATAGTTGGAGACAACACAACACAGGAAAATAAGCAGAAGGCATGTTTTGGGTCAACAGCAAAAACAGACGTGAGAAAGGCTGAACTTGGACACATGTCTCTTTTCAGCTATGTAACTATTATCTGGAACCAGCATCATCAAGTAGGGATATGGCTGAGAATGATAATTGTTGCAGACCTCAGTATTTAGACTTACCAGTATCATAATTCAACAATACATTTTCCAATGCAATCAATATGAATGAAGTCATCTTACTCAAGGTACACTAACCCAAAGTGGAGTTCACTTGCTGGTATATCTATGTGGCATTACATGGCATGGTGACATGTCAAACAAAATGCGTAATATGTAATAAAGCCCACTGTTATGTACATATACAGAAGCTTGAATGTATTCCATTATTGATGTGTACGTGGGGATGTATATTTAACTCTGTTTCAGGGAGTTGTACATGCACAATTAGAAACATGGGTTCTCTCTGAGTGGCATATACACCTTGATAGGAATTAGATCATGGTGAGAGCAAAGGAAAAATACTGAGAGTGCTCTCGCCATTATATACACAAGGAGAGAGACTTGATATACTTACAGAGGTAGATATGAAAGCAGAGCAGTTGCCCCAATAGTAGTATAGTGACAAAGCCCATTAGAGAAATTAGTGCAGCTAGAGCCAAGATGGCGGCTGCCTGAGTTTCCACTGGGGCAGATGGAAGGAACGCATACCACACGCTAGTGAGGTTCTTTGAGACTACAAGACACAAGCAGAAAAAGGAGATTTGTTTAGTTAAACTCAGAGACCTTATGTTTACATAAACACATACATATATGATTGGTGATGTCATTCTGGACTATTCACTAAAGTTAGAAATCAAATTCAAAATTACCAAACTAAAAAAAAATATGTCCAATTCAGCTTTCTTTCCGTTTGACTATTGTGTGCTTAAATTTGAAATTTACTTTGGATTCGTACTTAGTAAATTAGTACTTAGTAAATAACCCAAAAGCCTGTGTGTGTCTGACTTTCTCTTTCAAGCACCACTCCAGTATATAATTAGAGTGAGAGGGGCTGAATTAAAAATAGCAGACACAACTGGCAACTCCTTTTATAGAGGTATATATGCACTACATGTGGGTCCAGATGCATTCATTCAGAATAAAATGCCACAAACCTTCAAAATGTTCATTGGTTCTTAACAATGCTGGGTCAATGAAGTATGCAGCAAACACATATGATGAAATTATAGTCAGGATAAATGTGCCCAGGAACCCAGAAATAAGACAGTTGAAAAATAGCCTAAAAGGTAAAAATGACAAAAATTCACAAAAATAATTCCAAATAACAACTGAAATAATTAGGCCCTCCCCATCTGACCCCGTGCAGACTTTCTGTGGTGGTCCAATCACAGACTTTCCAATGCAGCTCAATGAGAAGTCTGTGCAAGACAGGTGATCTCTGGAATGGCTGCCTGTTGAGTTTAGTTCCATTAAGCTAAATTAACCAGGAAGTAACAGTATATGTCTGTTTAAAAGCCAGGAGGTGTAACATGATTAATTTACAAAAGTGCCTATTTCTATTGAAATGAAAAAAAAGAGGTCACACTCTTCACACATAAAGCACTTCAACATGCTAAAGTGGTTTAGGGGCTCGGAGTGTCCCTTTAATTTATTCATTTAATCTCCTAAAATATATGGATACAAAAAGGCATACTTTATGAGAATTTTCAAGAAAAGGCAAAAGTCAGAATCTCACAGATGTGAAATAGCCCCTTACTAATATTTCTAAAACCAATACTATATTACTATGTATACAGATTTTGTAGGAACAATATTGTTTTTTTTTTTAGAAATATTTGTAAATTAAAATCATTATAAACAAACAGACTTACTGTGCCAAAAAGTATATTTACCATCTTCATAGTAAGGGGTTTGGTAAATCCTACTATACTATTATTATGATAGTCATGGCACGGCATCTGCAAATGTGGGCTTAAAAAATGCAAAAATTTCAGATCCTCTTGCCAAAAAAAGCATTATAGATTATATACCCAATATGTCTTCTACTAGGTACATTATATGCATTATGTGTCTACGATGCTCTAACTGCTGAGATCTATAGTATTCTTACCAGTAATTTTTGCCTCCCACACAGTTATTGAGCCATTTGCAGTGATGATCAAAATTACTGACACATTTATTACACAAACTGCAGTGCTTTGATTTTGGGCCCCTGGAAACAAAAAAAGACAGTGAGATTTACTATTCTCATGAATGTACACAAGTGTTTGTAGAGAGAAACTAAATAGAGATACACAAAGGAAGACATTTGAACGATTCTACTTTATTCAAAGAACCCATCAAACGTATTATTCTAGAGCAGGGGTGGCCAACAAGTGGATCTCCAGCTATATATAACACCTGGACATCACATCTTGGTCATATCTATTCTAAAGAGCTAATATGTTTCACACCAGAGATTGGCATTCCTTTGTACAATTAATTTTGGTCTAGACAGGCCAAATTTGGCTATGGTACCAGGAGTGTCCTAACGCCCCACCACTCTTAGTAGTCTAACCAATTTAGAAAAGTTTAACTTATTCCCTGGGTACTGCTCCCGCTCCTCGTCTACTTCCAACAGAGATCCAGAAGCTCCTAGTTATAAGCTTCTGTTAGTTTTCCTGAGCTAGTTCCTGTACTGCTGGGGGTAGCTCAGAAAGAAATCTTCCAGCTCTCTCAAAAGTTAGGAGGTGGTACCAAGTGGACCCCAGTTAAGAAGTCAAACTATTTTAAAAGAGTTGGACTACAATGGGGGAGGGCAAGGCACTCTTGGTATCATAACCACTGCAAAACCATTTGGGTGTACCTGAGCATGCCTATTCCTGTAATTTTCCATCCATCTCCGTTGTAAAGTTCTAAAGGAGAGGCTCCAGTCCAGTCCCAGCACCATAACCACTACAGCTTACTGTAATGGTTTTAGTGCTTGGAGTGTTCCTTTAAATAGGAAAACAGCCTCATTAATGTTCAACAGATGGTTCTTAAAGCTTTATGGTATGCTGGTTTCTTTCAAGGGACACTACAACTTATTGCATTTGTTCTGCTGAGTAGAATCATTCCCTTCAGGCTTTTGGCTGTAAACACGGTCTTTTCAGATAAAATGCAGTGTTTACATTACAGCCTAGTAATAACTTCACTGGCCACTCCTCAAATGGCTACTAGAACTGCTTCCTATCTCAGTCTTGCCTAGTGTGCATCACAACATGTCAGTATCTCCTCCCTCTGCATGCAGACACTTTACTTTCCTCATAGAGATTAACTGATTTGATTCATCTCTATGAGGAGATGCTGATTGGCCAGGGCTATGTTTGACTTGTGCTGGCTCTGCCCATGATCTGCCTCCTTCACAGTCTCAGCCAATCCTATGGGGAAGCATTGTAGTTGGTTCAGAACAACACTTCTGATGATGTCAGCAGACAGCTTGCTGGTCTGAGGCAGACAGCTTGCTGGTCTGAGGCAGACAGGGGCAGAGCCAGCAGCTTCATGCTTGAATACAAGTAAGATTTTACTATATTTAGGAAGGCAAGAGAGGGCCAGGGGGGCTAGATGGTGGTTTTAACACTATAGGGTCAGCAATATATGTTTGTGTTCCTGATCCTATAGAGCTCCTTTAAGTAAAAGTAACATTTATACATGTCAACTTTCCAATCTGTTCCCATAAACAACTGGTGGAGTCTCTGAGCCACTGACCTATCCCAGAATTCTATATGTACATTGAATACAAAGATGGGGTTAGCAAGGTGATACGAAACAAGAATATTATGCCTTAAACATGTATATTCCTAGTTACCGAAAGAATGCAATTAAATTAATATGAAGAAATAAACAAGAATGTTTTGACTTACACATCCACCTCACAGATGTAGCAGTGCATATTTTCAATGACATGGGCATGTTTGTTGCGGTCAAACACGGGAAGGGGACCAGGAGAGCCCTTGGCACGCACATTGTCATCAGCTGGATTGATGGTAACAGCTAGGAAGTGAACAACCAGGTGCAAAGCGAACAAGGCACCCATACACTGCAACTTGATAGTTAAGGTATAATCATATTCAGTCAAAGCTTTTTGTGTAGACAATTTGTACTTTCTTGGAACCCCAATATTCTAACAGGATAATGATGGATGAAAAGTGACCTTCAATGAGTTTTAAACTAGGTTCACCAACATTTAAATCTGCATAACAATAAGCAAACCAAGTTATTTGAATTATAAAGTGTACAGGAAAGAAGACCAATACACAAGAAATACAGGGTTATGTGAGAAGATGCAACCGAGAAATTTCCATTAGGCAAGATGAGGGACAAAGCCACAGGGGGGGGGGAATGAAAGGGAGATGAATGACTCATCTGCATGGAGCATTAGGCAGTTGAGCCAACTAAATAACGAAGGACTCACGAGTCAATAAGGAACACAGTGACTTATACCCACTGCAACATAAAGGACTAGGAGTGTTCTTGCATTTGGGCTCTAAACAGGGCTACAACACCAACACATGCAAACAATGTGCATGAACAATCACAGCACTATATTTTTATGCAAGTATATTTCATTTTTTGTTTTAAAACCACCTACGCCTATCGGACTAAGCAATCCTCACTTGCTTCACAGAATGTGAGTTAGTTTTTTTACTCTTTTATTTATATTTTAGTTCTACAGTTACATACTATTAAGTTCCTTTTATATTTTTCCTTCTATATCTACATACGGAGAGGCACGATCACCTTCTATATCCCAGAGTGGGGATTATACCACTCCACGCCATATCTGGAGAGTCAACATCCTGGCTCCATAGCATATGAGTGCACATCTTTTATCTTGTTCTTCTGCCTTAGAGTTTGACATACTACACCATACTGTCTCTATTCTCCTTCCACATATCTATAAAGACATCGTTGTAAAGGGGAAGACCATCCACAGACCCGTGGATTACAACATATCCCTAGGTGGGGATTATTCCGCCTAGGCGCAAAAGGTTGGAGCTACACCCAAGCTCCTAACAAGCGTGCGTGTACTAACTCTTTTTAAACTTTTTGATTATTGTATTTACATACTACACCATATATTTCTTCATTTTTTTTTTTGTATCTGCAAGGACATAGTAGGCACCACTTTCCTGTTTTTTCTCCTGCTTCACCGGTCTAGAGAGGCTCCTGATTTGCTGACTTAACTGCCCTTGAACTGTACTAGTATCTCACAAGCGCTGAATCACCCCCTCTGTATTTGTAATATAACAGCCCATTCTTATTCCCGTGAGACAACTTTGATATTCTCATAGGTTGTGGATTCCAACAAGGATCCAGAACACCCTGCTATGTTCAAATAGTTAATTTAAGTATATAGTGGAACATTACATTGTTATAACGAAAATAATCTTCTTGTGCATCATCACTATGATTGTTGAAGGCCCATCTTAGCTAGCGTGGACAGCAGTGGTGTATTTAGGATTTGTGCTGTCCTAGTTTGTGCCCCCTAATTTAAATTTTCCCCACCCCTTCCTATCAAGGCCGCACTTTGACTGACAGACGCACACTCTGGGAAAATTCAGAGTTTAGTGAATAACCTTGCCAATGTCCAGGTCTAAGCAGTGTCCTCAAACGTTCTAATTTGAAAATGACTGTATCAGGACAAGTAAATTGCCATGACAGAGAAGTAGACTAAGCTGCCATTTTACTCCATTTTGACAAGTAGACTTGTTACAAATGTCTACACTCCTATATTGACCTCTGTTCAGGAGCCATCACTGGTTCATATCAATGGGGAGTAGGGTGCTCACAAAACCAATAAACTATCTTAGAAGCAGCAGAGAGCCAGGGAAGCAGTAATCCCTTACCAATGTAACTTTGTGATATTCTCTTTTCTTTTCTTCCAGTAGCCTTAGCCAGCCTGACTGAGGTTCAATTTTATTTTAAATACACAGTATAATACCTGGGAAGAAAATGGAGGGGAGGGAAAATGGTAGACATTTGTAATAGACAGCACTGTATCACAGATCCCAATTTTTTCTCTATGAGGGCAAAGCAGAAGCTCTTTATCTTTCAGGTCTCCACTTATGCCCGATATAAAAAAAAAAATGGATTTGTAAATGGATATTTTGCTTAATTCAAGTCTACCTGAACGTTTTCTTTACGGGAGAAAATTTGTGCTGTAAATTGTTCAGTCAAAGGATACAATATAACCAGCTGCCAGCCAATGCGGAGGTAATAGTGGAACAAGAATTCCAAATCCTACGACTGCAAAAAAGAGGTATGTGACCCAGGCAACAAACTGCAATGGATGAGGAGGCCAGCTCCAGCCATTTTTCCTTGAATGTTGAGGGGGCTCTGCTGAGACATCACCAACCTCCTTTGCAGGAACCACCGTCTTCGAAGATTGCTTCTTGCAGTTAGTCATCTAGGAAGAGTTCAGACCAATTAAATTGTATAAGGGCAATATGTAACCTTCACAGTAATGTTATAGACCTTGATGTGAGACAGAACTTTTAGAAGGTATATGGAAAACCCAAAGAATCTAAATCATAGTGACATCACGGCAACAAAATGCAAATAACTACGGTTACTTTGCATGTTTTGTTTTTAGATTAAAGGTATATTATTATAGTCATCAATACCACTTCAGCTTAATAAAGCATTTTTTGTGTATAGATCATGCCTCTAAAGTTTCACTGTTCAATTTTCTGCCATTTAGAAGTTGAATCACTTTTGTATCTGTTTATGCAGTCCTAGCTACACCACAGCCTACATGAAAACAAAATGGTTTGCTTTTTAGTGAGAAGTAACCTACTTTAAAAGAGGTATCTTCAGCTCTGTAAATCGAACGTTAATCACACACAGAAGAGTCCTGTAGGATCTAGCAAGTTATTAACAGAGTAAATTCTTAATTAAACAGAATTTGCAATAAAGGAAGTGTAAACATTAGACGACACGTTACAGTAGGTGTTTAGGAATTGAGGAGTGAGACTACAGAGGTATGATCTATACACCAAAACTGCTTCTTTAATCCTTTTTGGGTACCTCTATTTCATATTTCTATTTATTTATTTCTCTGTTTCATATTTCTATTTATTTTGTTCATTAACATCTTTTTAATTATACATATGACAGTGTAGGGACTGCTTTTTCATATGGGGAGCATGATCTTTGGCATTTTTTTTGCAATGGTTGGAGTTTCAGCAAAGTTCCATTTCAGTAGCTAAACTAATTTAGCCTCAATCCACCAATCAAAATAATCCCACAGAAAGACAATTGTAGACATCATGGTCATCATGCATCAGCAGACTCCTCCCAAACTGCTGTGAAGAACAGGAAAAAAGACTGCCTGGTGGGAAGGGGGAGGATCTATTTATACCAGTTTCAGAGTTCTATTTCCTGTCCTTTCTGCTGTGAGGGGAGGAGCTAACCCATGAGTAAATGCAGCCATGATTCATCAGGAAAAGATATAATAGTTGCACCCATAAATCAATTTCCCCATGCAGTTTTATAGCTTCTTAGTGCAGCACAATTCAAAACTTTATTAATATTTAAGAGCAAGGACCTCTGGTGGCAGAATTGACAAAGGGCAGTTATATCCAGTATACAAATTAGAGTCCTTGCCAAATACACTAATAAAATATTGCACCTCCTCTTTAATTACCTACTTGTTATAAAGGGATAAAAAAATGTTACCACCAATTTGTATGTATTTTATGCTCTCATAGTAAGTGTCGCCATGACTTTGAAGAGAAGTGGCCGAGGGCTAGTTATATTAAAAACCAAAAAAAAGTGGTTCACTTGAACTGTCAGGGGTATTTTCTACAGTGGGAAAAGTTAGGAAATCTAAATTAATTTAAAATGTAAGTTAAAAATAGACTAAATGGAAAATTTCCTTAAGTCAGCCGTGCTTTCCATTTAGCTATTATGGCCTTAAAGGAACAATCCAGGCACATAAAGCAGTCCAAAAATAGCACCACAAATACAGTGTGCAAGGCACTTGACTCAAATATATGTGTATAAAACCTTTAAAATAGCGGCATTATTATTATCATCATCGTCATCGCCATTTATATAGCGCCAACAGATTCCGTATCGCTTTACAATATTATAAGAGGGAAGATTTAGCTATAAATAGGACAATTACAAGAAAACTTACAGGAATGATAGGTTGAAGAGGACCCTGCTCAAACGAGCTTAAAGTCTATAGGAGGTGGGGTGTAAAACACAATAGGACAGGGCATAGCAATCATAGGTGGGAGTGAAGCAGAGCTGGAGGAGAGAGTAAAGTGCTGCCCTTCAGGAAAGAGCAAGAGACAGGTATGTTAAGTAGAGGTTATTCTGGGAGATCATAAGCTTTCCTAAAAAGATGGGTTTTAAGGCACTTTTTAAACGATTGAAGACTAGAGGAAAGTCTGATGGCGGTAAGCATGCTGTTCCATAGGAAGGGAGCCGCCCGCGAGAAGTCCTGCAAGCGTGAGTTGGCCGCATGGGTGTGAGTAGTGGACAGGAGAAGGTCACAGGCAGAGCGGAGAGACCGAAAAGGGGCATACCTGTGGATCTGTGAAGATATACAAGAGGGGCTATAAATGGTCAATGCTTTGTAGGTATGAGTTAGCATTTTAACTAACTTCTATAGGATACAGGAAGCCAATGTAAGGGGTGAGGTGTGAGAGGGCCGGCTAGAGAAGAAAATCAGTCTGGCAGCAGCATTCATTACAGACTAGCGGGGCAATACGGTTTTTGGGAAAACTAATTAGGAGAGGGTTACAATAATACATGCGTAAGAAAGGATACATGCGGATGCGGGCTATGTTTTTAAGATGGAATCTATAGGATTTGGTAACATGCTGGATGTGAGGCTCAAAGGTGAGGCTAGAATCATATATGACACCAAGACAGCGCGCTTGCAAGGATGGATTGATGTGGATACCACTGACTTGAAGGGAGAGCGAAAGAAGAGGATCAGTATTAGGAGGAGGAAAGAAAAGGAGTTCAGTTTCAGAGAGATTTCGTTTTAGAAAGCGGGAGGACATCCAGTCAGAGATGGAGGAAAGGCAAGCAGTGACACGTTGCAGGACGGCAGGGAAGAGGTCTGGGGAGTAGAGATATAGCTAGGTGTCATCAGCGTACAAATAAGTTTGCCAAGAGAGGCAGTATAAAGAAAAAATAGAAGGAGACCAAGAGCCTTGGGGGACTCCAACAGAGAAAGGATGAATGGAGGAGGTATTATTAGAAAAGGAGACACTGAATGAGTGTTGGAAGAGATAGAAGGTAAACCAAGAGAGGACAGTGTCACAGAGACCGAGTGATTGAAGAGTTTGAAGAAGAAGAGCATGATCAATGATGTCAAAGGCACCAGAGAGGTCAAGAAGTATTAGTATGGAGTAGTGGCCTTTGGATTTAGCTTTGATTAGGTCATTAGTAACTTAGTAAAGTCAAATCTTTCCAGAAGCTTTGAGTAAAAAGGGAGCAGGGATATGGGACGATAGTTAGAGGGATGGATGGTTCAAGATATGTTTTTTTCAGGATAGGTACTACAGTAGCATGTTTAAGGTTAGCAGGGACAATGCCAGAAAAGAGAGAGCATTTGAAGATGTATGTTAAGGAAGGCACAAGACAAGGGGAGAGAGATCTGATAAGGTGAGATGGGACAGGATCAAGCGGGTAAGTGGTGAGGCGAGAGGAAATGAGAAGCGCAGCAACCTCTTGTTCAGTATCCGGGGAGAAAGTCTGAAGGGTAGGAAAGGTATAAAACACTTTATTTGGCAAGAAGCTTAAAAACTCTTATTTGAAAAAAAACAGAAATACAGCAAATAAACAGGACTTCATTAATCGACCGAATCCTCAGCTGTTTGATGAAGCACATGACTTGGAGCGAAACACGTCACGGAAGGAGCTTCTTTCATCATCGTCAGGGGCAGAGTGTATTCAGATGTGTGGAAGATCACAGTATATCAATACAGAGTGTATTCAGGGGATTTACGGGGCCCTGTTTATATGCTGTATTTCTGGTTTTTTTTATTATGAGTTTTTAAAAGAACACTATAGTCACCCAAACAACTTTAACTTAATGAAGCAGTTTTAGTGTATAGATCATGCTTCTCAGGTTTCACTGCTCAATTCACTGCTATTTAGGAGTTAAATCACTTTGATTCTGTTTATGCAGCCCTTGTCACACCTTCCCTGACTCTGATTAACACAGCCTCCATTAAACAAAAAATGGTTTCACTTTCAATCAGATGCAATTTACCTTAAACAATTGTATCTCTGTAAATTGAACTTTAATCACATACAGGAGGGTCTAGCAAGCTATTAACATAGCAGGGGACAAGAAAATCTAAATTAAACAGAACTTGCAATAAAGGAAGGATAAACTTTAGATTAATCTTTACAGGAAGTGTTTAGGAAGCCTGTGCAATTCACATGCAGGGAGGTGTGAATAGGGTTTATAAACAAAGTGATTAACTAAATGGCAGAAAATTGAGCAGTGAGACTACAGGGACATGATCTATACACCAAGACTGCTTCATTAAGCTAAAGTTGTTTTGGTGACTATAGCTAGTGACTTTAATATTTTTGCCAAGTAAAGTTTTTAACAATATTGTTCTACCAGCACCTCCCTGCCCTTTGTGTCATGCTGGTACACTGAAAGGATCAAAGATCCAGGGAGGGTATCCCATCTCCATTTATACCTATTTACCCAGAGCCAAGAGTGTGAGGTTCTGAAGAAAGTGAGTTTATTTTCACTGGGCGTTTCTTACAGGAGGGGTTTATTTCTGTATATAAGTGATTTTTTTGCACGGTTATGTGTTTTTATTGTAGGTATACTTGGATATTGTAGATTTAGGTAGCAATAATACTTATTATTAAGAATCTTTATAGTTCTATCACCATTGTCTGACATATTGGAATGCAGCACTGTTTTGTGGTTTTCTGTGAAGTGCTCTACGTGCCTGCTGTCCCAGTTAATAAAAATAAAATTTCAATAGAAATCAGCACTTTTCTAATTGAGGACAGAAACACCTTCATAGCTGTCACACCGCCAGAAAGGCTTTCTTCTGCTTTTTTTATCTCCACGGAGCTAAAAGAAGCAGAAGGTGTGCTTGACTTCTCAGTGAGCAGTATTACAGCTCTCTGAGAACAATAGGTGTTCCAGCACAGAGACCTCTGAATGAGAAGCATCTGATCAAGTAGTCTGTGCTCGTGAAAAAGGTGAGGGCTTGCAAAAACTGCTGACTGGAGAAACGTGCAGAAATAATTATAAAACATGCCTGCTTTCTTTCTGGGTATATCTACTAAATTGTTAAAATAAAAACACACAAAAAACCCACAAACATTCCAGTGGAGCATTAGGAAAACATACCTGTATTTGCAATGTTTACTTGTCTCTGTCCCTAGTTATAGTGGGCCCACTCCCAGTGTGTGCCATAAAAAATATTATTTTTTAAATTCTTTATTTGTATCAAAGGTTTTGATTTTGGGTGCGGGTGGAGGTACAAAAGAAAAGTGGGAGAGGGTGGGGGGGGGGTCGTTACATTCTTCATACATTTTGTGCAGGTTGTAAGTTTAACAGTGAGCAACAAGACATTAGGTACTTCTTTGGTTAATTGCCAATAGAAAACCATTATGATGCGTACGCCGCAATTTGTTTTACAATTCTGGTAAACACTTATAGGTCCAGTAGGAAAGATTGGTTATTTGAGTACTTGTATCATATTGCGAATGACTTTCGGTACTTGTAGTGTCTGGGGTGGTCATGTCCCGTGTGTGTGTTATTGCGGATTTCGTCTGTCGATAATTTGTATTTTTCGCGTTTTATGCGTGTCTTTTCTGGTTTCTAAGTCTGTGTGTGTCTTGGTCGGGGTAGGGGAATGGTGGTAGTGGGGACAGTGCTTAGTAACTGTCTGTCCCGTGGGTAGAGTTAAGGTGTCTTTTGTTGTCTTATCGGTTATGTTAGAGGTTCCTCTTGGGGTAGGGGGAGGGAGGGGTAGGTTCAGAAGATGTGCCGTGGACGGGTGAGAGTGTTGGGGTGGGTCTTGAAGAGGGAGGTAGTTCTTGGCAGAGGGTATTCAATTTAGTCTCGGGGTCTACTATGCCGTTATAGTTCTAGTGAGCCAAGGGTCCCAGATCCGTGCCGACAATATGTTCTGTGCCCTGGTGAGAGTATCGAGAGGTTTTGATAGGAGCCAGATCCAGGGAACCAGTGGGAGGTTGCTATGTAGTGCTCTGTTGACCATTTGGGCTATGTCGTGCCATAGCTGGGCTATGTGTGGACAGTTCCACCAAAGGAGGATGTATGTGCCCTGTTCGCTGCACCTTTTCCACCAACGTTCTGAGGTTGCGATGCGCATTTGTTTCAGTCTCAGTGGGGGTGAGGTACCAGAGGAACATGGTTTTATATGCTTGTTCTTTGTGTGTTACACAAATCGTTAGTGCTGCTGTAGCTTCCCAAATGTCCTGCCAGTCAGATGGGTCTTTGGGGGGCCTATGGCCCGTTCCCAAGTTGTGGTGTATGAGAGGGCGTTGGGGGTGCTGGTGTGGTGTAAGATCCCGTGGTGGAGATCTGGCCTTGTTGCACCGGGGCGTTCATGCACATCTTTTCAAAAGCTGTGAGTGTGGTGGTAGCTATGGATTGGTTGCTTAGGTGGGTCAGGAAGCTCCTGATCTGCAGGTACCTAAAGTGGTCAAATGTGGTCTGTCATGCGGTAGGTTTGCAAAGGGCAGGAGGTCTTGTCCTCGGAAGAAGTGATAGAATCGGATCAGATTGTTGTCTTCGTATCTCATAAAGTGTTGGGGGGTCATTCCAGGTTGGAATTGTTTGTTCCGAAGGATTGGTGTTAGTGGGGATGGGGTGTTGATGAGGTCATCTGGTGAAGGCTTTGTGCCGAAACGCGTAAGGTGGATCCTGAGGACGTTTGGGACTTATTTTATATATATATGGGACTTTCCTTATTTTTTTATTTTATGTAGTTGTATAGTCAACATTAAAGTTTTTGTACAGTCTTTTATTTGTATTCCTGATTTGTGCATTAACTCTGGGAAGACACCCATTACAAGTTTTGTTCCAGTCCTTAGGAAGATTTCTGTTCAAGGCGTTCAGCTTGAGCCAGCTCCTAATTGGCTCTCTGTATGTGAGTGTAATTAACCCATTACGTCATTTTGGTTTATTTGACGTTATTACCCTATGTTGTATTTTTCTGTTTTTCTTTCAGAAATTTATTAACTAATGGGTAAAATTTTATAATAATTTCATCTGAGTGCTCTCACCATTTTATTCTGTTTTCACTTGTGCTTATTTTAGTGGTTGCTGTGGCCCACTAAGGTGATTGTAGCACCAATGTTTGTTCATTTATTTTTTTCACCGTGTGTTTTATTGTTCAAAGGCTTGTAGCAGTTTATCATTTCGGGTAGTAGGTGGTGGTCTTATGTGGGGTGCCCTTGTTCGCCATCTTTCTTTCTCGGGTGTCAAAGTGGCGTTATAGTCCACTCCCATGATCATATGGTGGGCGGAGAAGAGGCGGAGGTGTGCCTGGAGGGAGTCCCAGAAGTGAGCGTCAGGGAGGGTGGGGGCATAAATTGAGGTGAAGGCATTCCTGTGGGGTCCTATCTGTCCCGTAATTGTTATGTATCTACCTTGAGGGTCTAAGACTGAGCGCGTGAAGGCCAAGGGGCAGGTTTTCCGAACCAGAATAGCTACTCCATTCGGTTTCCCTTTCGGGGAGTTTGCCAAATAGCACTCTCTGTAGTGTCTTCTCAGGAGGGGGAATGCCCTTGTTTGTTCATAGTGGGTTTCTTGGAGTAGGATTATGTCCACGTTGGATTGGTTGGCCCACCGGAGAAGGCGGTGTCTCTTAGACAGGCTATTGAGTCCTTTGCAGTTGATGGATATACATGTGAGGTGTGCGGGTTTGGCACTGCCTGTTCCCCGGGTGGTTCCGCTGGGGTTGTGGTGGTATCTTGGGGCTGTCACTTGGGGGCCGTTATGTTTTAAAGTGGGGGGGTGCCCCGGAGATTGTGGCGGAGCTGGGGTTTGTGGGGGGAGGGGGAGGAAGGGGGGAAGAGGGGAAAAGAAAGAGAAAAAAAGAGGGGGTGAGGTGCAAACCTGGTCTTACCCCCTCGTCGTTCTGGGGGCTCGGTGTGTCCAATCGGGTCCTTTTCAGTCCAGTGGGGATAGTTGTTCCGTAGATGAGGGGGTAAGGAGGGGGTCGTACGTCTATATCTACGACTCCCTCTTCCCTATGCATCTGCTTGTGAAATTATGCACTGAGTCAGCGTCTGTGGGTAGAGAACATGTGTCATGTGAGATGGGTGTCTTTGTTGCTTCCTTAGTATGTTAGTTGCTCGGTACCCATGTATCTTGAGTTAAGGTATGAGAGGTAGTGGAACCTTAGTGTAGTCATTCACATATTTGGAACGTTTATACATAACGCATTGCAATGATGAACATATAACATATTGAAACTTGAAACTAAATACAGGTATGATTTCCATCTTGATTCCCTTGTGAGCTGAGTTAGGTTTCCATTTATATTGTGTGACCTCGGGGCAGGGTGCTGCTGGTTCTATCTGGGGTGGTCTCCATGGAGGGATGTTAAGATGGAGGAAGGCCGGGGTTGCGTGTGTGAGGTGGTGCTGGTTATGGAGCTTAGGTGCTTGCCGACCCAAAGGCTCGGGTTTGCAGCCGGAATTAGCTCGTTTCTTGAGCCGCAGTGGACGGGTAGTGGCAGGGTTTTAGTTACGGAGGAAGATAGCGTGGGTCTATGCTCAGGGATGTTTGGAGCGGTGTAGCTCTGTGCGTGGGGGTTGTTAGTATTGTCTGTCTACCCTCCAATTGTGCGTTGGTTCAAGGTGCGCTTAGTGAGGTAGTGCTAGTGTGTGGTTCAATGTGCTTGCGTGGGGTACCACGGCCGTCTCCGGGTGTTTCTCCGCTACTCGTAATTGTACCTTGCACTTCCTAATCTGGGGTTCGAGCTTGATAAATCCCGTTGTGTGTGTGTGTGTGTGGGGAGCTCGGAAGCCCCCGCTGCTCGCTCTTGGCGGTGGGGCCAGATGTTCAGGGAGGTCGTTGTGTGCGGTGTGGGTGGTAACGGGGCGGGAGCGGGCATGGTGGGGGTTGACATGGCCCGTTAGGTTGTAGAGTGACATGTGGGTATATTTGCATAATGCAGTGGAGTGAATTACACATGAGTAAAGTGGAGAAGCTTAACATTAAGTGATGTCTATATCCCATTATAGCTGTTTGGATTAAATGAGATTAAGTTAAGGCAGTATACATTACTTTCAATTAAATCTTATCCAGTTAAATTGGCATTTGCCACATTAGAGTATGTTAGCTTGAAAAAAATAAAGATTTAAATTAAGACAACTTAGGTTTAGGGGCTGAATAAGCTCCCTTGCCCCGGGTGGTTCCCTGTTACCAGTTATCTTCATGTCCCCGTTTGCGCCTAGGGGGTTCCGTAGGCTCCGGAAGCTTTGGGCACACCTTTGTAGGCCCCGTACTGGTGCGGTGTGTCTGAGGCCCTGTGCAGGTATCGTTCTGGGCACCATGGGTGTGGAAGGTGGTGTAGGTTTGTTTGAGCTCTCATCGGTAGGTGGCGGGTGAGGGTTTTGGGGTGGTTGGGCGGTGGAGTCTCTTGGTGAGTGGTGGTCCTTTCGATGTCTGGGCTGTAGGTGAGGGCAGGCTTGGAGAGGTTCAGATGCTCAGGGAGAGAATGTCCCTGGGGTTGAGTCCGGGCCCTTTGGGGTCAATTGCTGTTGGGGTGGGCTGGTCTTCAGTCTGGGTAGGGAAGTGTAAGTGTTACCAGTTCCCGGGGTGTTGGAGATGTTAGCGGTGCGTCCAGGCGTCCCTGGGAGCTCACGGGGAATCTTGATTGCGATTAGTCCCTGTTTTCCGAGTAAGGTGGTGCTCTCTTACGTGGTGTGTGGCGTGGGGATCCAGAGAACCTCTCGCGTTGGGGTCTTTGTGTGCCGCTGGTTCCTGTTGTTGCTGTCGATGATGGGGGTGGCAGGGTAAGTCCCAGAGAGTCCGCAAACGGGATAATTTCGGCAGGGTTTATCAGTATGTGGGTCTGGTTTTCTTTCCGTACGATTAGTTTAAATGGGTGGCCCCACATGTGCCCTGTTGGTTGAGTGTTCGTTGTTTTAGATCCCTATGTTTTTTCAAGGTGGAGGGGGCCAGGTCTTGATAGAAGGCCAGGCGGATCCCTTGGTGTTGTGGCGGAGTAGATCTGGTAATAGTGAGGATCTTCTCTTTGACCGCAAAAAAGTGTAGGCGGACTATGACGTCCCTTGGGTCTATGAGGAGGTCTTGTGCGGTAGCTTTGGGTAGGGCGGCCTTTAACAGGCCTGTAAGCGTGGTATGTAGGCCTTCTGCTGTGACCGACTCAGGAAGGCCCTGGTTCCGAATGTTATTTCGTCGGGATCGGTTATTCAGATCCTCGAGGCTTTCTTCCAAAGCTTCTATTTTGGCGTGTAGATAAGTAATATCTTGTGTGTGTGCTTGGGAGGTGGTGGTAAGGTCTTTTATGTGTGTCTTTGTGTGGTCGGCCTTGTTTGTCAGGGATTCTATGTCTTCTCTGAGGCCTGAGAGTTTTTTGTCAAGTTCCGTTGCCATGTATGACTTGATGTCCGCAATGGCTGCCCTGAGCATGGTTTGCATGTCGTGCAAGGTCAGGGGGGCACCTGGGGCTTTAGTATATTCACTCCCGTCGGAATCTGTGCAGGTTCCCTCTGCTTGTTGGTGGCAAGATGGCTGGCGTTGTTCTTGCTGCGGGCGGAACATGGAGGCGACCGATGGGGTCTGTTCCTTCTTTTGTTTTCCACCTCCCATTGCTCTGGGTTGTTGTTGGTTAAGCAGAGTGGGAGTTGTGAGTTCTCTGGGGCACCTAGGGCTTTGTGCTTGCGGATGGTAGCGGATTGATTATGCTGGGAAGAGCTACAGGATTATGCTACCATCTTCCTCAACGGTCCATAAAAATTATTTTTAAAAAAGGATTTCACTCACCTTTTTCCAGCGCCGAGGCTCTCTCAGCACTACATACCTCTCCTCCTCCCACATTGTCACAGAGGAGGCCTGACCTCCAGCGATGGTCCAGTCCAATGCTCCTCATAGAATAGCGTTAGGGGCCAGATGCACATGAGCATTCGAGCTTCCCCACACGAAAGCATTGAATCAGCACATACTGAGATATTTGTACTTGTATGCCAGGTGATAGTTACACTCCCAGCATACATGCTTTTGTCATCTAAGAACTCTGTTTCAGACTGCCAAATATCAATTCTGTGCATATTTTCCTTTCTGGTGTAAGAAATTTGTGTCTGCCCTGTCTTCATCCAAACCTTCTTATCTGCTGCCCACCTTCCTCCCTAGAATCTCTGCTATTTTATTTTATTTTTTTTATCTTCAACCCTCTCTCCCTTCTTCTCTTCATCCCCAGGCTTCTCTGGCTGCCGCTCTTAGTCGGTTAAATGGTTCAATCATTGGATCTCTGCAAGGCTCCCATGATGTTACAAGGGGGCATGTGGAGCAGCTCTGGGGGCTTCACCCAGCACTGGATTTAAGGTAAGTAAAACTTATAACTTTTTTTTTTTGCGTTTTCTGGGTTGGTGGACCTAAAGAATAATGCCCAATAGGGCATTATTCATCTATTCGTGAAAAAAGATGATTGGAGTAACCAATGCTTCAGGGGTTCCAAATGTCAAAGGAGGAAATATAAATGACACAATGAAATAGGACTGTATCCCACATAAGGTACCAGTCATTACAACTGTGGAAGAAGGCCTGAAAGAGGGGAGGGGTTACAAAAGCTGCAGACTACAGGTAAGCAATTTTTGCAAGACTTTTTTAGATATACCCCAAAGAAAAATGCATAATTAGATTATTGCATGTGATCATTGCGGGCATATCTACTAAATAGTGGTGTTTTTATCTAATGGAGTTTTGCTTTAATTTTCTCTGGTTCCATGTGAATTATAAGTATTGCTGGGGAGAACTAAACTTTCATTAAAGTCAGAATTTTTGCATATTAAATCTGAATGGAAAAAAAACTGGAGTAAAAATAGTTGACCTTGTCACAATTTGGCTATTTTTCTATTCCGTTTTGCAATTCGGATATTCTGAGTTTAGTGAGTAACCCTGATAGTTTACGTAGCAACTCTGTTACAACTGCTGGACTCTGGTAAGCAAAGCGTTAAAGCTAGAGAGTCACTGAATTCAATCAACAGAATGATTTCACCTGTTAAATAAAAGCTGCTCATGCAAAGAGGTAGAAGAATGTAATATTAGGATCTACTAGAGAATTGGTAGCTCCTTTTTTCTGTTTAAAATGTTTCTGGGTTGGTAGTTCGAAAAACTCTTTAGGATCCTAAACAGCTTTAGGTTTGTGAAAATTCTTCAAGAAAGGGAGGTGTGATGTGAAGACATTGAGGTAAGGTGTGTGGCAGTTCTAAAAAGATTATTATGGGATATAATATGACTGCTGAAAGAAGCATATTGTGCTTTAAAGAGACCCTAGAGGCATCAAAACAACTTTGAATTAATGAAGCAGTTTTGGTGTATAGATCATGCCCCTGCAGTCCAACTGATCAATCTCTGCCACTTTAGAGATAAATCACTCGTTTTCTGCAGGATCTAGAAGGCTATTAAAGCAGGAGATAAGAAATTAAACATTGTTTTAAAATAGAGACCAACTGATATAATTTTTTCCAGAGCTGATACCCATTATCGGTCGCCTTTCAGGACAATTGTCGATAACTAGTGCCGATATTCTTACATTTAAAGTTTTGAAAAAGTAACATCTCTACACAAATCTCGCATTAACTGAACATACTGACCGCAATCACACTACTATCACCCTTAGACAGCCTCTACATGCTGGGATGAGTGAGATCTCAGCATGTACAGTGCTGTTACTAATAGGAGTGTGACTGCTGACCGCTATCACCAAGTCAGCCAGTACAATACAATAGATTATTCAGTCTCACCTCCCTGCCAATAGCTGAGCTCCGCATGGGGAGACTCACAGAACAGGGTGACGTTAAGGCAAAACGTGTCGCTTCATTGGCTGGTGGCTTGAATTTTCAGATGCAGAAGACAGCGTGTGGTGACTGGAGGAGGTAAATTATCAGTAATCTTGGAAAATTACAAGGCAGATTCCGATAATCTGTAAAATGCTGAATATCGTCATTGATGATAGTTCTATCCATAGTTTAAACATATAACATTTCTTCTCAGTAAGTGTTTAGGAAGACTGTGTAAGTCACATGCACAGAGATGTGACTATAGCTGTATAAACAAAGTGATTTAAATCCTAAGTGGCAGAGAATTGAGCAGTGAGACTGCAGGGGCATCATCTATACACCAGAACTGCTTCAGTAAACTAAAGCTGTTTTGGTGACACTACAGTGTCCCCTTAAAAGACTTATCATTCATTACAATACAGGGTTGCCTACCTCTAAGGAATCAACCCCAGCTTGCACATCCACCAAATGTTTACTGTTAATACCTCGTCAACGTTTTGATGGGCAGTGCAAGAAAAGTGCTGCAGTATATAAAATTCAAACACTACAGGAAGGAAAACAAGTTATTGATCATTTTGGAAACCTTCAGCCTAGGCATTCAACATACTGCAGGGTAGCACTTTTCATATGCGGCTAGTCAACCTAAAGCGATCTGTGTTAGCATGGCGGATCTGGCAGCCTTTTCCATTTACTGTGGAGGAAAGCCAGTGATTATGAAAGCGAATGAATAATGTTTTCTGTAAATAAAGGGTTAGGCTCATTTGTATCACATCTTGTAAGTTAGCTGCCATTACCACTAGTAGGGAATGGGATCAATCGGGCTCCACTGGCTAGGATCACCACCACATGGTTAATGTATTGATTGACATTTCAGTATACTGTCTCTGTCCAACTTGTATGGCGGAGTTCAAAACGCCACATACAGCCTTTATGCCACACACAGCCTGCAAATTAATACCTTACAAATGGGATAATGAAGAGTGTCACAGCCTTGAGATATGGTTCCACTTGATCACCCTGGATACTGTGAGTAGCAACAAAACAACCTATGCTATTTAATGGGACACACTACAATTAGTGTCACTGGCAACGGGCTTTTCCCAACTTTGCCTCAGTCCTCCTGACAATATGTAGGAGCTGCTCTGTTTGATGATCAGAAGGACTGTTTGTAGCACCCAGCTCCATTTTCTTCCAGACATATACTAGTGGCTGGAAGGTTAGTAAGAAATTATTTTATTATTTCCATATATACACATAGCCTCATTAGGGGATAAACAAAACAGTCATGCGTGTAAAATTCCAATCTGCTTGCAAATGACATGAAGTATGTTTAAATACGAAAGAATAAAGATAAATCCTTGGGGGTAAAATATTGCTATTCCCTTAACATCTGACAGCAGACCTTTGCCAGATCTTAGCTGTGAATAATATCTGTAATTCCTAATTTAACCAAGATTTAATTCTGATATGCAAATAGCCCTGGTTCTTTTTGTAACCAGCTTGAGATCTGAGCGCGGCTGCAGGGAATTAGTTGCCTCTATGGAGGATCCCGCATTGTCCTGGGATCCCCAATACACCACAAAGCTGTACTCTTGCGCATGCATGAGTACTGCAGTGACATCTGCTCTCAGGACAACCATGCTGGACAAAGATGCCATCGCCCTAGAGGGACAGCTTCAGGTAAGTAAACTCTCCTTTATCGTCCCCTGGACCCATAACTGCGATGTCACCATAGCAACAAAGTCCCCAAATGGTGACAGTGTCGCTTTAAAGGAACACTGTAGCATTAGGAATACAAACATATATTCCTAACGCTATAGTGTTCTAGTCCCTATTTAGAGTCTACACTCCCACTGCAAGAAAAAATAAGAGGGGGTAGCATTTTACTTTGAGATGAAGTGCTCTGGTTGCCTTTACTGCCCCTTTAAAAGAGGCAAGGTCAGAAACTGCCAGGAAGGGTGAAAACAGGATAAATGTGGAACAGACAAATGAAACAAATGAAAATATTGTTGCAAACAGAAAATGTGACAAACTCTTTGCATGAAAACAACTGTGCCACTTTCTACAGATTTCCCCCTGGGTTGTTATTCAAAGAGGCCAAGGCTGAAAATTATTTTACTGGTCTAATGTACCAGAAGTAAGCTCATGTTTAACATACTCTAACATCTAATATATGCAATCACATATGGCTGCCTGCTAGACAAAGGGTGGCCAAAATGTGGATGCCAGACTGCTGAACTACAAGTTCCATTACTTTATTTTTTTTTTTGCCCAACCAAACTGTTGCTTTTGCCATTGGCTTGTAAACTTACCAGAGTTGATTCAGCCTATCAGGCAGGTTGCTGGAAGCTCTTGATGAGAAGAAAAATAACTATTATTTGAAGACTTTTCTCTTTTTTGGTAGCTGCCCACAAAATATGTGTGCATATGAAGATGCATGAGGTCTAAAATGAGTTGAAACTTGCAAATTGACAACTTGAAAACTTCCTGTAAGTCTGATAGTAGCAGGGTTAATAATCCATGTGGTTTAAGATGGCATTGTTTCTGAGGTATGGAGAAAAATTAAAATCCAGTCTGGAGAAACTTCCATGATCATAACTGCGTATAGCTGTGTAGAGTACGGGAACACTGTCTGGACCAGTCTGAATTGGGTGAGGATTTGTGTTCAAGGCCCATATCAATTTGCAGAAATTGGATTGTAAAATAAGAAACTGTGGGTGGGAAAAAAAAAACAACACAGGTGATTATTTGGTGTAACCTCACAGCAGGCATGACACACTGCCTGATATTCTGGCTAGCTTTCCCCACTAAGGACAGTCCATAATTAAAGCGCTATTGAAATGCTCTAATTTTACTATGTGCAGCAGGAGAGCATCCATTGATGCACTCACGCTGTTCTGAATAGAAATGTTTTCCTTGTGTTAGACCCAGAAACTACTAAGGATGAAATTCTGAATTTCAAACAGGCCGCCAAACTAGGGACAGAGGGATTGTGTAGAAACAAGGCTAGTGCGAGAACATGTGACCTCATTTATCTACTCCTGCTGACTAATAATGAAATGTGGACCAAGGAAAAGCTGAGCGAGATATCAGCCAATTCTGCTTCAACATATGTCAACAACTGGTTATGAGAGGTCAGATGATTGTCCGTTTATGAAACCAGGAAAAGGTATTACAGAAAAAAATCCAAGAAGCCTAACTACTTGCGCACAGGTAGTGCTACCTAAAATTGATTTGAAGGACCAAAAAGAAAGATGTTTCGGGTTTCCCCTCTGTCAATGAAAAGTGTTATGTTTGAAGTACATCAAAACATTTATGGCTAATGTAGTTGGCAAATTCTAGTGAGCTGACAATGATATCGGGATTAGCAGGAGAGTTGTAAAAACTCAGGCTAAAAATGGAGCGGTTCTAACGCTGTCTACCCAAAGCTGTTTAAATTTGACTGCGATGATCTTTACAAATCAATGCATGGACAAGTCCCTGTACTTCCCAATCACATTACAAAAAATTAACAGTGATTTACCAATTAATAAAACAGAGACTAGAAATTAAATCCGAGCATCATAACCTCTACCCCAGTGGTAGTTTATTCCATGGAGTACCCTGGTGACTGTCCTGGTAATGGCCAAACAGTTGTGCAATGGTTTGCCCTCTTCCCTGGGTCCCGCAAGGCACCTGCTCACCTTTTGGTTCTGACTTCTGCAGAACTTAGAAATTAAATGAAAATATTATATTTTTCTTCAATATTTACTCTTTACAAAACACACACTAGATAGATATTTGAAAAGTTGAAACATGGCAACAGTGTTTCTTAAAGGACCACTCTAGGCACCCAGACCACTTCAGCTTAATGAAGTGGTCTGGGTGCCAGGTCCAGCTAAGATTAACCCTTTTTAAAATAAACATAGCAGTTTCAGAGAAACTGCTATGTTTATGTTAGGGTTAATCCAGCCTCCAAATCCTCTAGTGGCTGTATCATTGACAGCCACTAGAGGCGCTTGCGTGATTCTCACTGTGAAAATCAGTGAGAACATGCAAGCATCCATAGGAAAGCATTATGAATGCTTTCCTATGAGACCGGCTGAATGCGCGCGCAGCTCTTGCCGCGCGTGCGCATTCAGGCGAAAGGGAGGAGAAGAGGAGGATCGGAGGCGGAGAGCTCCCCGCTCGGCGCTGGAAAAAAGGTAAGTTTTAACCCTTTCCTCTTCTCTCCCTCAGGGCACCATAGTGGTCCTTTAAGTCTAAGGTACATAGATCCTGGCCAAAATAGTTTAAAGCTCCCATAGGTTGGACCACAATGCCGTTATCTATGGATTAATACATTATATTTACAAGTTCCACAAGTGCTGGCTATTCCATGTGTGTGTGTGTATATATGTATGTATATGTGTTGTTTAAATTTTTTTTAATCAAATTTTAGAATCCATTTAGCACAGCTGGTGATGTAATTTGGCACGGATCACTGCCATGCTGTCTGGGGGTACCACTTGACTGATGGCAACAGAAATGGAATCTGCCTGGCATTTTAACTCCCAATAATCTCAGGCACCAAAGAGACATTGACCGGTTTTATTGAACGCTTGCACCAACCTTCAAAAACATACATATATTTTAAATGTGCTGTTTACCCTGCCATTGAATAGCTTGTACACGCCGTTGTGGCACTACAGGCATGTTGTAATCGTATGCACAAGGAAAAAAAAAAAATAAAGAAAAAAAAAAAAAATATATATATATAAAATATATATATTTTGTTATTAATTCTCCAGAATCCATGAATGACAGTATATTTCCATAATATACTGTATGTGTGTATATAATCTTCAAAGAGCTACTGAACAGATCTACAAAACACAATTATTCCTAAATAAGTAAAATAAATAGCGGCATATACTCCTCGAATTTCCTATAATTTGCAGCACAATCCCCATATAAAGACATTCATCTTATCCTCCTGCCACAATACTAAATAAACATCATGTAAAACAGTTACTCTGTTCTACACAGAATACACTCCCTTCTGTTTACTGCAATCCTATGCACCAGCCCCACATTTATTATAGAGAATAAAATATACAGATGCTCGCTCACCCCCTGATATAGTTACACAGCAGCACCAACAAGCACAGAAACTGATTACCTCCTCTGTATCCTGGGCTCAATGGGTGGTCACTAACAACAGTGCAGACATGAAGTGTACACTGATAGGAGGGGGATTTGGGAGGATACAGTATGGTGTCTGGTAAGGATCAAACTACCTTTACAATTATCAGATTGAGCTGGTAGCTAAAACATTCAAGGCAGCAGTGTGGAAAGCTAGTTTGTGCTTTGTAACATAGCAGCACAAACCTGCTCTGTAATTATGTAGCAATGTTATCCGTACGCACAGTAGTATACATTCACAAATTTTATATATATATATATATTTTTTGATAACAATGTACACTATGTATAAAGCATGGACAAGTTTCCAGGTTATTGAGTGGAAGTAATAATAAAAAAAACTCAGTGATGTTGATATTGGCAGAAATCTTCAAAGGTTGAACATTACAAAAAATATTTCCCCCTCGACTTCAGGTGGAGGGGGGTTTTCAATCACTCCCCCCTATATATATATATATATATATACGCTGCTGAATTTGTTGGTGCTATATAAATAATAACGTAGTAGTAATAATAATATATATTTCCTACCTGTTCTATGTTAAATTTTGTATATAATGTATATTAATATTGTTTTTGTATTTTACTTTTATTGTATCAATGCAATGTTTTGTGGACCCAAGACATACTTGAAAACGAGAGAAATCTCAATGTATCTTTCCTGGTAAAATATTTTATAAATAAATATACAAACAAATGCAGCACGCTGGAAAATTGCTGTCTCACAATAAATAGCTCATATAAGTAACTAACCCAGAGTCATTAAATACAATGTAAAGTTGGATACGAAGTTTATTAAAAATAAACAAATTAAAACCACAGTATGCTTAGTGCAGCAACACAATACACAGCAAGTAATATAATACTGTATAAAATAACCACACTGTACAATAATTTAAAAGATACACTGTTGCCTGAAGCTTTGGACTGGCAGCTGAGATCATTAAAGGACCACTATAGTGCCAGGAAAACATACTCGTTTTCCTGGCACTATAGTGCCCTGAGGGTGCCCCCACCCTCAGGGACCCCCTCCCGCCAGGCTGGATGGAGAGGAAGGGGTTAAACTTACCTCTTTTTCCAGCGCCGGGCGGGGAGCTCTCCTCCTCCTCGGCTGAATGTGCATGCGCGGCAGGAGTTGCGCGCGCATTCAGCCAGTCGATAGGAAAGCATTCACAATGCTTTCCTATGGACGCTGGCGTCTTCTCACTGTGATTTTCACAGTGAGAAGCACGCAAGCGCCTCTAGCGGCTGTCAAGAGACAGCCACTAGAGGCTGGATTAACCCTAACATAAACATAGCAGTTTCTCTGAAACTGCTATGTTTATAAAAAAAAATAAAAAATGGGTTAATCCTAGAGGGACCTGGCACCCAGACCAATTCATTAAGCTGGAGTGGTCTGGGTGCCTATAGTGGTCCTTTAATGTTGGTAAAGTGTAAGCAGAGAGTCTTCTCAGGCACCCCATAATAACAGGCCAGATTGCCCTTCCTGGCCCCCAGGTTATGGATACATTTGCACATTTGTAACTTTAAGTTATATTGTTTATGAAGAAAATAAACAATCAGGTCTAACTCTGTATACACATTATCATCACTAGCAGAGTTAGTCACTAATGTGAGACTCTGAGTGAATTTCAAATTTAAGGGCAAAATAGACAAATTATAAGCACATCTGTCTATTTTTTTCATTTCAGCTACTGTTACCATTAATTTGAAATTCACATTGTATTCACACTTTAATGAATAACCATGGAAATGTAATTTTATTTATTTCACCAATATCTACTGCACACCTATGATTGTAAGTGTAATGTTTTTCCATTGATGTGATCCTGTGTACCCAGTGTAGGTGGGTGGAGTTGCCATACAATGGATGCACAGATCCAAACAGGAAGCTGCATGTATTGGCTGCTAGGCAACAGTTGCTAATCACATGGTGCTTCATGATGACTCTATCAGTCACTAGTTACAGAAAGGGCTGATAAATATATAGTTGTTTTCTTTATGGATCGGAGGAAAAATAACTGTATGAATTTATTTAAATAGAAAATGTCACTACTGAGGTTTTAGCACAACCACTAGCTTAGTAAAAGTGTGCTTTTAATTTCTTAAAATGTTCCGTTTTATGTCAGATCGGTCACACAAAATGGTTTGAGATCAGTCCTCCCTTGACAGCCTGGCTCAGTTACCTGGTATCGGGAGGACTGACAATGTGAATTATTATTTATAAAGCGACAACAAATTCCGCAGTACTGTACAATGGACATGTATTTGTAACCAGACGAGTTGAACGCACAGAAATATAATTATCCCTGCTTGTGGTGTTCCTGGAGAGAAATTCAGAGCTTTTAGGGACAGAGGCTAACTAGAAACTACAGTGGAATTGTTGAAGCCCCCTCCCCAAGTGTATGTGTGTGGGGAAGTTGGCAAAGTGTGATTTTTATATGGTTGGCTAAGAGTGATGTGTTTAGAAATGGCTATGTAAGGTAGATGTGGGGTTTGACTGAATTGGATTTATGAGACAAAGTGGGATGTGTGTGGGGCTGACTGGGGAGGGATGGGGGGGTGGAAAGCTTCTACCATACATTTTTCAAAATGATAAAATAAAAAAAGAACAAAAAACTATTTTTCTTAAGCTGATAGCAGCCACATTATTTACATTGAGCAAACTGATGAGCTGAACTACATCTGGGTACTAAATCGCACATCCCATAAAGTCTAGCTGAACAGGACTTTATTAGGCAAGAAATAAAACCTCATAGACCGAAATGAGAGGCTCTTGACTTGCAGAGCCTCTTAATGCTCTGGAAGTGTTTTGCCACCAGCTTCTGATTGCAGAATCTTTCTATCAAATGTTTTTGTCCCTCCGTAATTTTTTTTTTTTTTCCTTGCATATTTTTAACATCTGTATATTACATTAGAAAAGGGGTCAGTTCCAGCACATAGGAACCCTTTAAGTAGCATTGATTTTTAACTGCTCTGTAAATACACTACGCTCTTCACTTTCAGCATGGCTTAATCAACACGTGACATTTAAAGTGTGCCACATTGATGGCAATATTTTAAATGCATACTTTGTATTTTCCTCATTCACTCCAGCCATGCATTGTACACAGTACTTCAGACCCTCCTCCTCTCCTCCCTCTTCTTACTGAATTTGAACAAGGCAATGCTATTTGCACAATCTAGTTTCTGAATTCTGGGGATGACGGTGATGCATGTTGCGTCACTGGTGATGTCCAAAATTAGTGGCACTGCCTGGCATGGTAGGTGTCTCTCAGGGCAGTCCATGCACAGATAGCTGCTGAAGCGCTCTCTGCATGGTCTTAGTGTCCTCAAAACACATAAAGGTGTCTAAGAATGTATATTATTATTATTATTATTATTATTATTATTTTATTATTTATATAGCGCCAACAAATTCCGTAGCGCTGTACAATGGGTGGACCAACAGACACATAATTGAGATCAGACCACTGACGTACAGGAACAGAGGGGGTTGAGGGCCCTGCTCGATGAGCTTACATGCTAGAGGGAGTGGGGTATAGTGACACAAAGGGTTAAAGTAGGGGAATTAAATAGTTTGTTACAGAAGGGTTTATTGAGTGCTTGGTAGGTCATTTTTGACAGGTGAAGGAACGGAGTCATGGGGTGGGGGATGAGAAACCTGCTGACAGTTTAATTGATACGCTTTAATAAAGAAGTGAGTTTTCAAAGATTTTTTGAAGGAATGGAGGCTGGGTGAAAGTCTGATTGAGGAGGGAAGGGAGTTCCACAGAATAGGTGCAGCCCTGGAGAAGTCTTGAAGGCGAGCATCAGAGGTGGGGATCCGGGCAGAGGATAGGAGTAGGTCTTGGGCTGAGCGCAGGGGTCTCGTCGGGACATACTTGTGTATGAGGGAAGATAGGTATGTTGGAGCAGCATTATGTAGGGATTTGTAAGCAAGCGCCAGAATTTTGAATTGGGCCCTATATCTAACTGGAAGCCAATGCAGGGACTGACAGAGCGTGGAGGCGTGGGAGGTGCGACCGGACAGGAAAATAAGCCTCGCAGCCGTATTCATTATAGATTGCAGCGGTGCAAGCTGGGAACATGTAAGACCGGTGAGAAGGGGATTGCAATAGTCAAGGCGAGAGAGAACAACAGCATGAACCAGTACCTTAGCCGCGTCCGGCGTTAGATATGGGCGGATGCGCGCTATGTTCTTGAGTTGGAAGCGACAGGATTTGGCTATCGATTGAACATGGGGAGTAAAAGAGAGATCAGAATCAAAAAGAACTCCTAGGCAGCGAGCCTGGGAGGTAGAGGTGATAGTAGCGCCGTTGACTTGGATGGCGACAGACACAGGAGTAGCAGCACTTGAGGGAGGAAAAACTAGAAGTTCTGTTTTGGACAGGTTGAGTTTAAGGAAGTGAGCAGCCATCCAGTTGGAAATAGCAGAGAGGCAGTCAGAAACACGAGTCAAGGTGGGCGGAGAGAGATCAGGGGAGGACAGGTAGATTTGCGTGTCATCTGCATATAAATGGTATTGGACGCCAAAAGAGCTGATGAGTTTACCAAGGGAGGCAGTATAGATAGAGAACAGTAGGGGGCCGAGGACAGAACCTTGGGGGACGCCGACAGGGAGGGGTTGGGGAGAAGAGGCAGAGCCAGAGAAAGAAACACTGAAGGAGCGCTGGGAGAGGTAGGAGGAGCACCAGGAGAGAGCAGAATCCCGTAGACCAAAGTTACGGAGAATGTGAAGAAGCTGTTGATGATCAACAGTGTCAAAGGCGGCAGAAAGATCAAGGAGGATTAGGATAGAGTATTGGCCGCGAGATTTAGCAGCAATTAAATCGTTGGATACTTTGGTCACAGCAGTTTCGACAGAGTGACCAGCGCGGAATCCAGACTGAAGGGGGTCAAGCAGAGAGTTGGATTCAAGAAAGTCTGTCAATCTGGCGTAGACAACTCTCTCGAGGATCTTGGAGGCAAATGGCAGTAGTGAGATAGGGCGGTAGTTGGATGGGGAGTTGGGATCAAGGTTGGGCTTTTTCAGAATTGGGGTTACGGTTGCATGTTTGAAGGCAGAGGGAAATGTGCCAGAGGA